CTAACACTGAATAGACAAAAAAAATATGGCAGATATAAGGGAAATAAGTAAAACTACAAACAACTTTATAAATAAAGATTGTTTCTCACAAGAAAAACCGACCTCAATTAAAAAACCAGACTATTACAAAACCAGTTATTTTGATAAAGAAATTAAACTACTAAGTATATCTTTTCAGACGAAAAAAAAAATTTCCAAAAAATACAAACGAAATGAGGGGCTTCTTTTTGAAATCGATTAAAAATGGTTTATTCTAACTGACTATCCAACGTACAGCCAAAAAACTATTAATTCTAGAAAGCTAAAATTTGGAAGACAGATTTATTTTATCCCCTAAACAGCAATACCGACAACAAAAAAAATGTTAGTAATGGGAATGTTACTGAACATTGTTAATAATATAGAGTATAATGTTAGCAATGGGGATTAACAAAACAGGTCGACCTTCACGCGGTTTCCTCTAAAATCCATCGTGATTCATTATTATCAAATTCGTTGCGATGGGCCAACTGACCTAACTTCATCTTTACCTTTCATCCCATGCTGATGCTCCGTCAGTGTATACCGATAGCGCAGGTGGTGTTAACATTCCATTATCATCTATTAAAAAAAAACAATAATACCTCTTCGTTTCAAATATTAACAACTTTAAATGACAACAAGTATCTTAAAATAGTTAAAACTTCGCCAATATGATTTGAAACACAAATAAGAAACAACTTTTTAATAATATTAGATACTATATACCGGGTCAAAAATATTTGGTCCTACGCAAATATAGGTAGCGAGAGGGTTAAAACTTTAAACCTAACATACTTCCCCTTAATCCTATTCAGGCCTGTTTATTGTTTATCTCAACAAAACAGCAAACAATACAGTAGTTTTGATTAACTTTCAAACAAGTTGACAGTGGAGATTATTTTGAAAAGTTTACAAATTAAAAGCCTTGTGATTACACACTTACCTTAACAGCCTTTGTGTTTCGAATCATAGACTCAATATAACGTACCACGTCCTTTATAATCTATGGTTTGAATAGTATGTTATATTATGCAAATTAAATAGAAAACAAATGACAGCCTACCTAATGGAAAATGATGGAACAGCTAACAAATAACACTATGAATATTTTATCCTTAATCCTATCCTAATAATGAAGTTGATTGGTAGAGAAAGCTAATAGCTTAATGCTAGTAACATTCTTTACCGTTCTTTCGTTTTATACCATATTTTTATTTAGTCAATAAAGTTATTTAAATACAAAGTAAAATAAATCAATGTGACAAAGTTCAACGTGAACATGTTATTCTTCATGCATTGCTATTCCTAAGGACTTTGGTGCTATGCTTCAATAAACTGTAATTTTAGTGTTAAATTCCGCAGGTATTATTCTTAAAATATTTCAGTCAGAACTTGTAAAAAATATCGTACAGATATTTAATAATTTCCATATTTTTAACCATATAGAGCAATTTAAATCTCATCTCCCGTTTTTGTAAAAATTTCGGGAATTTTTACACTGTCCAAAATTATATAGATAACAAGAATAGTACAAACATTATCATGGAATCAGTTAAAGAAATCGTAAGAATTATTTTTTCAGCGTTAAAAAACGTATAGACCACTTTCTATAATTTTCAATAAATAATTAACATGTAATGAACCTAGATTCTAAGCTTAAATTATAAGTAGATACTATATACTAAGACTATGTAATGGACAGAAAAAGATATTATTAAAAACATTTATTTCTACAATTTACAAATATTTTAAAGGAAATATTTTTAAGGCATTTAGGTAATACCGCAATTACAAATTTAAAATAAAAGGTATTTATAGTAATATAAACCCATAAAAAATTAAGACCTCGCATACTATTCTAATCTATTCTAATCCATGTTATTATTACTTTGTGGAAAAGTTATTTCAGAAGTTGGCGACCCTAGGTGAGTTATCTATAGTTATTCTTACACTGTTAATGTCAAATACGAACTGAATATTATTCTCACTCAACTGTCAGTCAGACGTCAGTCACTGTCATATGTATCTTACCATTTTTCCCTGTCGATTTCATATGTTTTTCTAACATTGCGTCATTATTTTTGTTGCATATTAATCTTTGATTAAGTATATATATCGATAACATTTGAAATGGGTAATGCAAGCGCAAAAGCCGCCGATGTTAAAGTTGTGGCACCACCAACAGAGGAAAAACCCAAATTGAAACCATGCTGTGCTTGTCCTGAAACGAAAAAAGCGCGCGATGCCTGGTAAGCAGGATATTTTACTACATTAGATTACGTAATCATTGCATTTCCATCGAGTTTTACTTTGAAATGCATCCCTAAATACAAATCAGTCATAACAGTGCTAAGAAAAAATCTAAATTCTTCATTTAATCCAGATAATTTTTAAAACGCCGGTGATCATAGGTATTCTAGTATTTTACTTGAATGACCTTGAAATATATCCACATTGTTAATGAATATTCTTTAAGTAATTTATTAAATAAATATACCAGTAAATTGACTGAGAATGTACTAAATTTACATCTCGTTTTCACACATTTGCACCTCATATTTATTACAAATGTTAGTAACCTGTAATTTTAAACAACAATTTTTCAGTAGTACCTATTAATCCGGTAGTACTTATTTATTACTATTTGTATCATGCACCTTTATCTATGGTTGTATTGTATGATGATATGGAATAGCATATAACTTAAGAAATGAGCTACCAAATGCAAAAAGTATTTAATATATAATACAGAATATCAGTGTTTTGCTTTTTTGAGGGCAAAGCAATAAACTGAGTTGTGACCATTTTGTGTTACTATGGCGTGAAGGAATGGAAAGAAAGAAAATTGTTGGTATATATATTTATTTTTGTTGTTTGTTTTGTTGCTTTTTTTTATTTTCATTCTTTTGTCTCTTTTACTGTGTATTATGTATATGTTTGTATTTTTTTTTTTGATGGGTGAAAATGGTATGGTAACCCCGCCTGCGCTAACGGGATACGCTGGCGGAGCACCAGTGAAGGGTGATAGATGAGAATGAAAACAGGCCAGTTAGCCCATCATGATGAATTCATCAGGAATTAACCATGATAGTTTCCAGGGAGAACCGCGAGGAGGTCGACCTGGTTGGGTATATTGCTAGCAATGGGATTCTCAATCTCCATTACTAACAATCCATTTCCCCCCTATTTATTTGTATTGTAATTTGTGTGCTGTAAGTAATGTAAATAAATTATCTATCTACATATCTATTTTCTTCTATTTTCAAATCTAACTTGTAATTCAAGAGATTAGCATATTCAAACAAATTAGCTTTGTTATATTATCATACACTCATTATCATCATATCGGCCTTTAACTGTCCTTTACTGTACATAAATCTCTTCCTTGGGGGGTTTTGCCAGTAGTTACCATGCTTGGCAGGCAGATTGGCAACTGCAGTTAGGCTTTAGAGAAATTTTTATTTGCCTCTTACGACGCCCACAGGAAAGGAAGTGATGATCTATTCTATGACGAGACCACACTGTGTTTTTTTTTTATAATCATAAATTATTAATTAAAAGTACTCTTCTGTTTCAGCATCATTGAAAGAGGTGAAGAGAACTGTGGACCATTAATAGAAGAACACAAAGCCTGCATGAGGAAGATGGGATTTAATATTTAAGAATGTAATGGCATACAAAATAGACCTAGTCAAACTAATTTATTGTAAGATCATTACATTGATTAGAATATTGTCAATATTTCTAATGTAAATCCGAAGATCACAACATGTTGTTGTAACCAGTGTTTACTATAAATTTTTATTGTAATTATTACATGTTAATTTACCCTAAACTGTGGAGAAGTATATTAAACAACTAATAAATCAAGCTTACTCAAATGACTTAATATAATTGGATATTAAATGTTACTTTTTCAATGAATATTTACTTATATTGTAATACAGTTCATTTTAAAATTGAAAATATTAATAACTATTAATTCAAAATTATGAATTTTGAATGATTTAAATTGATGATAAATAAACATAAAACTTACTAAAATCTTAATTTTGATTTATGCATTTCTTGTACTGAAGTACATTTTAATTTTAAAAATACTATGTAACACATAGAATGTTATAATACTGTATTTGTATTTATTTTTAAAGTGTAAATAAATGTTGCCCATATATAATTAAGATGTTTTATATATTTTAGATTACCAAATCTATTTCCTCAATGTTCAAATAGAGATATGTATTAGATGGTCTCACAGTTTAGACGACGTTAAGACATGCGACATCTAATTTTTACTACCATTCATATGGTAGTAAAAATTAACTCTCCACTTTAAAGCGGTACACTTACTGTCAAAATATAATTTGTGAATAATATTGAATGTTAGTTATATTCTGCGGCTTCGTCCGTATAAATCAGGATATAAAGTATCCTATGTACCAAATTAACCTACTATACATAATAGAATAGATTTTTCTCAAATATCTCCTATATACATACAGAGAGCATCGAGGTATTAATTTAATTGGAACTTCGAAGATTTCTGTGTAAACAGACCATGCGGTGGGGGAAGGTAATATTAATAATGCGGGCTACCAGTCCCATTGCTAGCAATATACCCTATCGGATCAACCTCTACGTGGTTCCCCCTGGAAACCATCGTGCTGAATTCCAAATGTATTCAACACGATGGGCTAACTGACCTGCTTTTTCATTATCACCTATCCTCCTTCACTGGTGCCCCGTCAGCGTATACTGTTAACACAGGCGGGCTTACCATTCCATTATCATCCATTAAAAAAAAAGATCACGCAGTCACCCTGAAGACCTCGCTAGATAATACCAATCAAAATATAATCTGCCGGAGTAAACAAGTTCTTACGAAGCTACTGCCGCTGTTATCTATAAACTTCAAATTTATCTCGAAATTAACGAAATACAATATCAGTTGTTTCGTGAAAGCCGGGCGGCGCGGCCGTGTTTTGTTGTCGTACTATAATTCAACAATAAATACTGTTTATTACGTATAATGTGTTCTGTGAAGAAACCAGTCAGCTGTGAAGACCTCTCCGCCGCCAGCTCTGTGCGGTCGTTGGATGATAGTTACGAGTGAGTTCCAAAGTTCTTTGAATACTAAAAAGTAGAGCAAATGGTAATTAAAAATGGACCAACAGCGTCTCTCTTAACACATCTCTAAAGCCTAACTGTGATTGCCAATCCGCCTGCCAAGCAAAGCAAGTACTGGCAAAACCTCTTTAGAGAGAGGCTTATGTTCAGTGGGCAGCTAAAGGCTGATAAATGGGGTATTAATAATGGCGACCCCGAATACAGTGTTTTTATATAACGCATTTCATATAACGCACCCCGATTTTTTTTTTATATAACGCAGGGGGCATACGAACATGCGGCTCACCTGATGGTAAGTGACTACCGCCGCCCATGATCACCCACAACACCAGCGGCATTGCAGGTGTGCTGCCGGCCTTTTAAAAAGGAATATACTCTTTTTCTTGAAGGTTATGTTGTCGTATCGGTTCGGAAATACTGCTGCTGGAAGTTGATACCAAAGAATGGTTGTGATGACCACTTACAACGACCTTAAATATATTACAGGGAGTCAATAAATGCAAGTGACTCAGGAGCGTTCCTTATGGCAGTCTTATACAAGAGGGAGACTGTACAAAAATCGATTGCTTGGGTACCTCTGTCCCATTCGTGTTTCAACCGTGAAGCAGTTGTGTTTGCATGGCTGTGTTTCGGTTTGAAGGGTGGGATATGGCGTGAATTTACTGGGTACAGAAGAATAACACCTGAGTCCTTAGGAATGGCAACGCATGGGGGGTATCATGAGCGAAACAGTATACTCTGTTATGTCCATGGTACTGCTCATGTCTATAGGCGACGGTTACCACTTTCTATCAGGTGGGCCGTCAGCTTGTTTGCCATTCTAAGTTGTATAAAAAAAAAGTCTATGGGGAAGTTTGATGTTCAGCAGTGGACAGATAACGACTGTAATGATAATGATAAATGGGCTCTAACAGCCCTATTGCTAGCTACCCTATCAGATTGGTTTCCACGCGGTTCGCCCTAAAGACCACCGTGATTTATTCTTGTTGGTTTCATCACGATGGGCCAACAGCTGCTTTATCCTCACCGATGCCCGACCAGTGTATACTGATAGCGCAGGCGAGGTCACTATTTCATTTACAGTCATTAAAAAAACGCACAGGCCTCTCCTCTGATGGTGGTGTAGTCTTATAGTGATAAATAAATAATAAATTTATTGCCATTTTTTACAAACATACAGAAATTATACATGTACATATGTTTATTAATAAATACATTGTGCAGTATTCGTATGCCATGCAATAGGTACAAACTCAGCTTTTGCTGGACTGATGTGCGTTCAGTGCTGATTTTCAGTTTGCACCTACACGGGACACCGTTTCATGATAAAATATTTATATATATATTGATATAGATGTTACTCAAAAATTGAAGACAAACAAAAACTCAAATAAATAGTTTATATAACATTATTTCACAATTTTCATTATTGCCAATTGTTATAATTAGATGAATTAACTTTATATAAAATCAACATTCTATATGTAGCACTAAAAAATTTTGCTGAACTAACATTATACTATGTAATGAGAGTTGAGCGCTGTTGTCTGAGATACAGGTTTTATAACCTAGTTCAGACACAGATGTTTAAACTGATCCAAATGTACAAATGAATTCGTACCTACTTTTACTGTAATTTCCAGTGCTGAGTTTGTTACAATCATGGTTATGCAATTAAATTAAAATTTTTAAAAAAAAATCATGAATAAAAGAAAAAAAACAGAACAGTAATCCAGTGTACCAACAAATTAATAAACAAAATGATGTGTGTCTCTTTCACATAAAATGTTGCCAATCAACGTACAGCCCACTTGGTACATAACCACCACAAACCATTGATAAGTGTCATACGATCAAGTCAATCGCTTGGGCTTTAAACAGATATATTCTGTGATATAAGGATATGAGGAATTAAGCAACAAATGTCTAGGGCAAAACGCCAAGATCCGAACTAATTAAAAAAAAGATGACTTCTAAATTGGCCTAATTATGATTCAAAGGTTAGAAGGGATTATTAATAATGCGGACTACCACCAGTCCCATTGCTAGCAATAGGGTATATGTATCAATTTTCTGGTACCCATAGTATAAGCTCTGCTTAGTTTAACACTAGATGGCTCTGTGTTACACGTCCAATAGCATTTATCTAACTATTACTAGTATTATAAAGCTGTTCCGTTAGCCCATCGTGATGAATTCCACTAGAATTAACCACGATAGTTTTCAGGGGCAACCGCGTGTAGGTCGATCTAACATCTGTATTGCTAGCAATAGGTCAGTTAGACCCCACTACCAACAATCCCTTTCCCCCCTACCAGAGATTGGAGAGCATAAGGACAATCTTAATTTTTGAAGATGCCACTCTGAAGAGCGAGGGGATACTACAGTCAAACTATTCCCTCGAGTTTTTCAGCCAGGAGTGCTTCCTCCTCCCGGTATTTCTTATGCCAGCAGTCTTGCCTTGGATGACTAGCTTGAATATTCTGCTATAGGACTCTACTATAGATGTATTCCTATAGCCGTCTTTTAATTTTTTTTAATGGATGACAATGCAATGGTAACCCCGCCTGTGCAAACAGTATACGCTGGCGGGGCACCAGTCATGGATAAAAGGTAAGATGCATTTCATCTTCATCAGATCAATTAGCCCATCGTGATGAATACACCAGGAATTCAGCACGAATGTTTCCAGGGGAGGCCACGTGGAGAATGATGTAACACGGTGTATTGCTAGCATTAGGACTGATAATCTGCATTACTAACAATCTCTTCCCTCCTAAAATACGTCTTACGTATTACAGTACAATTGAACTCAAGTTGTAGGGGACCGATCCATTATATTACTTCCGTTCATTAACTATGTTACCCATCGCCGGAGATCCAGTTTGTGCAAAATTATAGACAACATTGGAATCTTAAATAATTATTTTGTTAAAAAAAAATACACTACCAATACCTCTGACTGCCTCTTTTGGGATTTTAGGCGTCGACATTTTAGTTTTTCTGTACTGAATAATTTATTTAGTGAAGTCAATGAATCAATGCGTAAATAATTGACAATAATATGTTCAAATACAAACAAGTTGACTTAAAAGGGTTATTATATTCGGATGATGAAATATTGATAAGGGTTTCATCAGTGGCTGACTTCTCAACTGATCTATATTCCAACAGGAAATGAGAATACACCTAAGTTCGGACTACTGCAGACTTGGAACACGGACAATTTGTGTGTATAACTAAGTTTATTCTAACTGTAATTCTCTATTTAAATGTTTAAATAAATTTTGACAAACATAAATTGTAACATATTCGTACTTACAAGAAGCAAAGTTCTGTGTCACAGCAAGCGATATCTCTACTATTCGTGAGTATATTTTGCTTAAATAAAATTTGTTTTTTACAAAAAAAAAACGATCTAATCGTAGCAAAATCAGTCAACTTTTAACATCAGATTTTCATAAAATTTCCATGGAAACATTTTGTAAGTATATCCATTCAAATAAAAAGATTTTTTCCAAATCGCTTTATAACTGAAGGAGTTATGGGGTAATAAATATATAAAAAAAACAACCGAACTTAGTGCGTTCGTCTTTTAAAAGTCGTTTGAAAATCAAGAAGGTTAATATTTAATAAAATTTAATATAATTATATTATATAATTATAAAATAATTGAATATTTAAAAAAACTTGCCGTAAATAACCAGTCCTGCTACATTCAGCCCCCTATATTGTATACTAGCGATCCGCCCCGGTTTTGTACGAGTAGATAGAGATAAATCAGTATTCTATATTAGATTTATTAGGCAAACTTTTTATAACCTGGGTTATTTATTTATTTTACACTTTATTGCACCAAATAAAAAAACAATATAAATACAGTAAATCTTAATGAGAAGTGATACAAAAGGCGTCCTTATCGCTAAGCAATCTCTTCCAGACAACCTTTGGGTAGAGGACATTGAGAAAAAGACAAAGGTTAGGTGGTACATTGTTATATAGATACTAATATATACAAACATACATTATATTGTTATAATTTTCGTAAAGATAAATAATATCTTTCGAAAAGAAAGAATTTTTAAAATGGATTTAGTAATTTTTGAGTTTATTAAATACAAAAAAATAAACATATATATGTATACGTTTTTTTCTTATAAACCATCTATTGATGGAAACCGCATTAAAATCCGTTGCGTAGTTTAAAAGGTCCAAGCGGGAAGCGACTTTGTTTTATACTATTTTTTTAGACAGTAACATTTTTTATGTTATCTATCAACGCGTTTTAAAAAACATTTTTTAGTTTCATTCGTATAGCACAATAGAAATCGCATATATATATATATTGTGATAGATAGATATAGACCACCATATTTTAAATACTCTTTATTTTTAAAAGCAGGTACATATGTAGCTACTATTTACCTACAAAATTTTTTCATTACCTTAAGTCCCGATAGTGTAAGCAAAATATGTGTCAACAACGCGAAAGTTTAAAATTAGCTTTTACCAGTTATTTCATATGTTGGCAGGATAAACAGTAGCATTATATCCTTCTTTATACCAACATAAATGTTTATAATTACTCCTCTCCATCCAAAGGTTGCCTGGAAGAGATCGCTTTTAGCGATAAGGTCGCCCATTGTTTTCTTACTGTGAATATTTCTTGTAATTGTTTATATCTATAATAAGTTTACTATTGTAATCTTTTGGAGGAAACAATAAAGAGTATCTATCTATCTATTAATGACGATTCTTTGAGTCGTTAAGACGGTAAGTGGTGAGAAACTTGCTTTTATATTTATTACTAAGATTTATTATGCACTATTCACCCATGGTCCCAGCATAAAATTAAGCCAGACTTTCCTTACCCGTGTGTGTCGTAAGAGGCAACTAAAGGAATTTAACAGTTCAGAAATGGGCAGCATCCCTCTTAAAACGTCACCAAGGGGGGAAAGGGTTTGTTAGTAATGGAGACTGAGAATCCCATTGCTAGCAATATACCCAACCAGATCGACCTCCTCGCGGTTCTCCCTGGAAAGTATCATGATTAATTCCTGATGAATTCATCATGATGGGGTAACTGGCCTGTTTTCATCCTCATCTATCACCCTTCACTGGTGCTCCGCCAGCGTATCCTATTAGCGCAGGCGGGGTTACCATACCATTTTCACCCATAAAAAAAGTCACCAAAGCCTAACCGCAGTGAATGGGGGGAAAGGGATTGTTAGTAATGAGATCAAATAGCCCCATTGCTAGCAATATACCCTCTTAGGTCGACCACCACGCGGTTCCCCTTGGAAACCATTATGGTTAATTCTTGTCGAATTCATCATGGTGGGCCAACTGACTTGCATACATTCTCACCTATCATCTTACACTGGTGCCCCGTCGGTGTATACCGATAGCGCGGGCGGCGTTACCATTTCATTGTCACCTATTAAAAAAAACCACAGTGAATGATGGTGTTAACTCATATGGGTCCTTGCGATTTCATTGTGATATCAAATTGTTTTAATTTTAGAAATAAGTCAATTACGCCTTTATATTTTTTTTAATGGGTGATAATGGAATTGTAAACCCGCTGGCGCTGGGGGGAAGGAATTGTTAGTAATGGGGTCTAATGAACCCATTGCTAGCAATACACTATCAGGTCGACCTCCACGCGGTTCCCCCTGGAAACCATCGTGAACAATTCTTGTTGAATTCGTCACAATGGGCTAACTGACCTGCTTCATCCTCATCTATTATCCTTCACTGGTGCCCCGCCAGTATATACCGATAGTGCGGGCGGGGTTACCATTCCATTATCACCCATTAAAAAAAATCCCCCGCTTGCGCTATCGGTATACCCTGGCGGGGTGCCAGTGAGTGATGATAGGCAACGATAAAACCAAGTCAGTTAGCCCATCGTGACGAACTCCACTAGAATTAACCACGATGGTTTCCAGGGGGAACCGCGTGGAGGTCGACCTGATGCTAGCAATGAGTCTATTAGTAACAATCCCTTTCCCCCACGCCTCAATATAGACTACATGACCACAGATAATATAATACTACATTAGTAACATAACTAATTTAAACTATAGAATCCTTTCTATTTATTATTTCTTATTATTTCAGACAGCACAGGGTTAACTCATTCATAAGGGTTAAAAACTGATCAAGGTTTTAAGTTTATTGGCTTTGATATTTATTACATTTCCAAGATCATTACTTATCTTAAAGTTAAACTGACAAGGTTCTCACAGTTGTTTATAGATAGATTAAATTGATGATTAATGTTAAAGTGTCCTTTGTTAAAATATATTTCATAATTTTTTTTATGGGTGATAATGGAATGGTAACCCCGCCTGCGCTAATGGGGTACGCTGGCGGGGCACCAGTGAAGGGTGATTGATGAGAATGACAACAGGCCAGTTAGCCCATCATGATGAATCCATCAAGAATTAACCATGATAGTTTCCAGGGAGAACCGCGAGGAGGTCGACCTGGTTAGGTATATTGCTAGCAATGGGATTTTTAATCTCCATTACTAGAATAGAATAGAATAGAAATAATTTATTCAAATAAACTTACATTGAAGCACTTTTGAAAAGTCATTACATTTTTTTTAATTTACCGCTCGTTCGGAAAGCTGTCTCATCACAAGAAGAACGAGCAAGAAACTTGCGTGATGCTCTTTTAAATAATTTTATTATTATTTTACATTTTTAAGTTTAATTGTGTGAATACAAACCACCAATTAGCACTAATTCAATTAAATACTCAAAAAGAAAAAAAAAAATTGAATACATAACCAACTGGTTAAACAATTAATAAGAGGAAATCAGTCATAGTGATTAGAGCAGACCAGTCCCTACAAGCAGCACCCGTTCACGAGTATGACAAATGAGCCAGCCATCACTGCGCTCGACCATATTTTAGGGAGCCCAATGACCCGGCCCACCACGCCGCCACAAGTCTGGACATTTTAGTGAGCATGACTACTCAAAACACTAGACCACGTCAAAGCTACTCACAATTGCCATCTGATAGTTATAGTATTCACATTTTACATAAGAATGCATGCGGCAATTAATACAAAAAACCGCTACGCTTTCATATTTCTAAAATTAATCAATTAAATCAAGAAAGCAATGAGAAAATAAAATTATAACGTTGTATGCTAATAAACTAATTATTTACTTGATATGTTGTCATCTATGAATTCGTCTATCCTGTAATAGGCTTTCTTACATAAAAATTGTTTAATATAAGATTTGAATTGCCTCTCTGTCAGATTTAATGCAGATTCCGGCAGTTTATTATAAAATCTTATGCAATTACCATAGAATGAATTACTGATTTTGTGCAGACGGCATTTAGGTAAAATAAGCTTATTTATATTGCGTAAGTTTCTACTTGTACAGTCTTTGAGTTTTTTAAAACTCGCTAAGTTCTTCCGTGTATACATAATATTTTCATAAATGTATTGTGAAGTAACTGTGAGGATATTTGAGTCTTTAAAGCACTGACGTAATGACTCTCTTGAACCCATACCATAAATAGAACGTATGGCTCTCTTTTGTAAAACAAATATAGTATTTATATCGGCTGCTTTACCCCACAGCAGTATGCCATAAGACATTATGCTATGGAAATAACTAAAATATACAAGTTTAGCCGTCGCCACGTCTGTTAATTGCCTAATTCTTCTAATTGCATATGCAGCAGAACTGAGTCTACTGGCCAATTTTGAAATATGGGGCCCCCATTGTAATTTCGAGTCCACTGTTATACCTAAAAAAACTGTATCATTAACAAAATTTACTATTTCGTCATTAAGCAATAACTGTGTATTTATTAGTCTTACATTAGGAAGTGTAAATTTTATACACTTTGTTTTGCTGGAATTTAATAATAGGTTATTACATGTAAACCAATTTAATATTGCAGACATAGCACAATTTACATCGTCTAATTGATTACTTTGACGTCCAATTTTAAACACTAACGAAGTATCATCCGCAAACAGCACTATATCTGCAATTTTCTCTACCATAAAGGAAAGGTCATTTATGTAGATTAAAAAGAGAAAGGGGCCTAAGATTGACCCTTGTGGAACGCCCATCTTAATATTAGCTCCCTTAGATTTTACACCGTCAATATCTACAGTTTGAACCCTATCCTCTAAATAAGTTCTCATTAATTTTAGATCATTATCTCTTATACCATAATGTTCGAGCTTGTACAAAAGCGTTTTATGATCCACACAATCAAATGCCTTTGATAGGTCACAAAAAACTCCGAGTGCATCCTGTGACCTCTCCCAAGATTCGAAAATATGTGTCATTAGCGCAACACCTGCGTCAGTGGTAGACTTGCCGGCGGTGAAACCATATTGCTGACTGTGAAGCAGTCCGTTAACCCTGAAGTGATGTAACATTTGATTTAACATTATCTTTTCAAACACCTTACTTAGAACTGGCAAAATAGATATAGGTCTATAGTTCCCTGGCTCAAATTTATCTCCTGATTTAAATAGTGGGATTAATTTGCTAAATTTCATTAAATGTGGAAAAACGCCATTATCAATACATTTATTAAAAATAGTGGCTAGATATGGAGCAACAATATCTATGAAAGAACTAACTACTTTTACAGACATGCCCCAAAGGTCTTCCGTATTTTTTAAATTTAGCTGTTTGAATATTTTTATGATATGAAACTAACAATCCCTTTCCCCCCTATATTTCATAATTGAACTATATCATTGAATAATGATATTTTTTAACAACTTGAACTTGTAGGGCAGCTTACCTGATCAAAAGTGGTAACCGTCTCTTATAGGCATGAATAGTGCCACAGTCGTCATTGCAACGCACATTGCATCTCTCATGCGTTGCCACTCCTAAAGCCTAAACTGTAACATGGGACAGAAATGATTGATGACAATGTAGACTACCAGTCACATTTCTAGCAACACACCCAGCGGGAGAGTTTACCAGAGGGAGACTTTGTACAAAAGTCGTATGCTTGAGTACCTCTGTCCCATTCGTGTTTCAACCGTGAAGCAGTTGTGCTTGCATGACTGCGTTTCGGTTTGAAGGGTGGGATATAGCGTAAATTTACTGGGTACAGAGGAATAACACCTGAGTCCTCAGGAATGGCAACGCATGGGGGGTATCATGAGCGAAACAGTATACTTTGTTATGTTTATAGTCATGTCTATAGGCGACGGTTACCACTTTCCATCAAGTGGGCCGTCAGCTAGTTTGCCATTCTAAGTTGTATAAAAAAAAAAAAGAAAACCTGATACGCCTTTTTTGAAGAATTCCATGCTGTAATCTGTAAGCAAAGCCTCGGCAGGAGGATTATTCTACAACCTAAGTGTTCGCGGGAGGAAACTCTTCTGAAAGCTCCTATCTTTAGGTGGACCGTCAGCTTGTTTGGCATTCTAAGTGTCATAAAAAACACTTAGCTGCTTGGTATAGGATTTTACTCATATTTCGAATTAGAAAGTAAAGCAAATAGAATTACCTAAAGAAACTGAACTATCTTAAGGAAAGCAACGAACCGAAGAAATTGAAAGTGATGCCCTCCCGGATATGAAGCGAGTTTGCGAGGCAGTTCAGTGAATCAATTGGTTGATAGTAGACGCATAAAAGAAACTGAGCAGTGTCCATCAGTATTAATGTAAGTCAAAAGAAATCAAATACAAGCATAAACATAAATACACAGCTATCCAGAGCGGATTCCCAATTTTCTGCCGACTTCAAAAAAAATAAAGTTCTCAATTCGCTTGTATTTTTTTTTTTTCTATGTATTGTTATCTCTTAACTCCGTTAGTTTTTTTATCTGAAAGGATGTATTTAAAGAATGATTCCGCTGCAAGCAACTAGGGGTATACCATGTTAATGAAATTCCGAATTTTCGAACTCAATTTCGTGATTTTGTTCATACGGAAATCGGCCTAGTAAATGAATAAATCCTACCACAACAGTAAAAAGGAACAATATTTTAACATTCTTAATATTTTTAAACAGTATTATGTAATTTTAACATCAAATTTGTATTTCATTCGGCCTAGAAATCCGGAAAATAAATAAAGTTAGGCCCTCTGACTTACGATCTTACTTCAGTGACGATATGTCATCTTAGACACGTCTTTGTGAAGCTTCGCTCGCATCCTGGAATGGGCACTAAAGGTCGAAGCGGTCAGTTATGAAACGGAAACAATTGTCACAGTTCTGAATTATTTAATTTTTTAACCCTGTTGTATTTAACTGTTCCGATATATTATATATGTCTTACTTCTATCTCTTAATTTTTTTTTTATTTAAAGAAATAAGCAAGTTGCTTATCTGTTTAATGATTACCGCTACCAATGAGCACCTAACCTTATAAACAGGGGGGAAAGGGATTGTTAGTAATGGAGACTAAAAATCCCATTACTAGCAATATACCCAACCAGGTCGACCTCCTCGTGGTTCCCCCTGCAAACTATCATGGTTAATTCCTGATGAATTCATCATGATGGGCTAACTGGCCTGTTTTTATTCTCTTCTATCACCACCCTCTGCTATAAAATTTCTTTAGTCGCCTCTTACGACACCCACAGAAAAGGAAGGGATGGCCTATTCTATGCCGGGACCACACACACGTCAGCATAATTTATAAAGTCAAATAAATAAATAGGTATATTGTATATATTTTTTTTTTAATTTTCCAGAATATTTGAAAGTGACTGCTCTGACTTCTACGACGTCGACTGCGACGACAAGCGACGTAAAAGTAATAAACATATAAAGTGAGTGCCCCATTTAATATTACATATATATTACATATATGTAATATTATATTACACATATATATTATTATATAAACATTTTTATTAATTGCAAATTATTGTTATAAAATTAAAATAATTAAACCTTAAATATAATAATTGTTATAACAAGCATCTATTCCACAACTAATCAATTACTTTCTCCATAAAAAAATAAATCCATCAATCATCTCCATAAATAAATAATTATTATTCTAGTAAACTGAATAATAAGCATTTTTGAATAGTCATTATTTTTTTTTAATCTACCGCCCAATTTGTTTTGTGTGTTTAATTTAGTGTTGTTAAATTTTGAAATCAAAATAAATTGTTTTGTCATAATTGAATTCGATTTTTTTTAATAATCCTAACTGATTATTTATGATTCTATGATGGTATGTTACCTTATGCGATTGCAACCGGCTCAACTAGATTAGAAATTTCTAGTTGAAATAAACTTTAAGTTTTAAGAAACTCATGTTCAAAAATGTCAAATTTTTATCGAAAAAGAACTTTAATGTCTAATTATACAAAATTTTCGTACAAAATTTATATTTGTACACCTTAGTGGCGAATTTTTTTAGCGCTACATATCTGTCATCGCCAAACGCAGACCACGGTGTCCGGAGCGACATGGATAGATTGGAGACGACGCCGCTTCTCTCCACACTACACAGCACGGCATACGGCAATCTGCCAACAAACGTAAGACAAACATTATACTGCCGGTATACCAATGAGAGGTAAAGTAGGTAAGTTGGCCCATCGTGACGAATTCATCAGTAATTAACCACGATGGTTTCCAGGAGGAATCGCGTGGAGGTCAACCTGATAGGGTATCATGGGCGAAACAGTATACTCTGTTATGCCCATGGTACTGCTCATGTCTATAGGCGACAGTTACCACTTTTCATCAGGTGGGCCGTCAGCTTGTTTGCCATTCTAAGTTGTATAAAAAAAAGGCTAAGTATATTGCTAGCAATGGGTTAGACTACATTACTAACAATCCCTTTCCCCGCCAGTATAACATACTACGTACTACTAATACAATGGGGGGGGGGGGTAATAGATTGTTAAAAATGGGAATTAGTACCCCTATTGTTAGCAATACACCCTATCAGGTCGACCTCCTCGCGGTTCCCCCTGGAAACTGTCGTGTTCTATTCCAAATGAATCCATCACGATAGGCTAACTGACCTGCCTTTTCATTGTCACCTATCATCCCTCGCTGGTGCCCCGCCAGTGTATACCAATAGAGCAGACGGGGTTACCATACCATTATCACCCATTAAAAAAAATGCAATGCCATTTGTGTTGAGCGATTCTGTTTCACCCTTTCATTTATATATCCCACTTATCAATCCAAAATATTAAGTTTAGCTGATACTAGAAGACAATGACCTGACAAAATCTGGGCATTTATTTATAGAAGTACACTTTTATCTAAGTATTTAGCGCCGCCTCACGTCAACTGATAAGAAAACTAATCGTGCTTTACTTTAAACTTTGAGTTTAATAGATGATTTCACATAAAATTGTACTAACTATGTAACCCCCTAATAAATACTGGTACTAAAAACGAGGTAGGTTAAATGTTTTATATGAAATTTTCCTTACTTTTGGACTAATGTATTGTGATTTATGTCCTACAACAGTCTATCTAACTTCATGTCAAATCTCTTACAAGGTAGACAGAGAAATCTGAATGCCAAATGCTTCTATCCTCACATACGAGTTGGTATACCATTATATATATCGCATGCTTCATTCACTTTAAAAACTAGTCTTATGGGGAACAGGGGTTGTTTGTAGTGAGATCCAACAGACCCATTACTAGCAATATACCCTAACAGATCCACCTCCACGCAATTCCCCCTGGAAACCATCGTCGTCATTTTCTCAATTCATCACGATGGACCAATTGACCTGCTTCATTCTTACATACCATCCCACACTGGTGCCCCGTATCCTAATAGCGCAGGCGGAGTGATCATTTCATTTTCATTAATTAAAAAAAAAACATAAAGAATTATCAAAATCAGTTTCGAACTGTTGATGTAATCACGTAATTTAAAAATACAAACAATTTGAGAATCTCCTTCTTATGATTATGCATGATTATAAAAAAAATAATAGCTAAAATACGACAATTAGATTTAAAATGACGTAGCAAAGTCACAGATAACGTAGCTAAGTTCTATTTAACGATAAAAGCTGTAATGATACAACTTTATCGTTATTTATATAGTGGCACTACTCCCACGAAAATATTATAGTAATAAACTGATATGATTAAATTTGGAACTGTCACTAACCAATTTAATAAGTTGATACAATTAAATTTGAATCTGTCACTGACCAGTTAAAATTATCCGCACGACATTCGTATTTACGAGCGCGGCCTTTTAAGTTGTGTCGTTTGAATTAAGTACAGACAATCTAATAGATTATTACCATTTATTGTTTTTCAAAGAATTCTCCGTGATATTTAATACACTTTTGCATGCGTTCAAACCAGTTTTTAAAACATTTATTCCACTCCAAAGTAGGGGTACCTAGTCAAAATGGCCGATTTGTAAGCGTCAACAGCTTCTCCGGGTGAACTGAAACGTTGACCACCAAGACTTTGCTAATTATAGTTTTGGGAAACGTAAAAAAATCGTTAGGGCATAAGTAAGGGCTGTAAGGCAGATGATCTAAAATTTCGACATTTTGGGTGCTCAAAAACATCTTGCATGGTGCAGTATCATACGATGTCTTGGATTATTTTTTCGACATTCGGTGATGACTTGTGGCTAACAAGCAGGTATACCAGTTAGCGGTAACCTTCTTGCGATCTTCTAGAACAATAGTGGCGACGTGACCGCCCTTTGCCACAAACGAGGCAATCATTTTTTTTTAAGCGCTCCGTGAACTTTTTGTCGTGTTGTTGCAACTTTGGTCGGTTTTGGCTCGTCCTGGAAGACCCAAACAGTTGGCTGCTGCTTAAAATCTGGATCGTAAGCATACATCCAAGACTCGTCACCACTAAGCATATCATAAACATGCTTTGACTCTCCTCGATTAAATCGCTGCAGAGTTTTGCGACACCAACTAACACAGGCTGTTTTTTGGTCGTCGCTAAGCAAATGTTGTATCCAACGAGAGATCAACTTTCTTACGCCAAGTTCTTCGTAAAAGTAAACATTTATAAATATTGATAACTGATAAAAAAATATGTATAAAATCACTATGGAGATACTTATTTTTAATTTATATACATAAATATATCTGAGGAATAGTAGTAAAAACAATAATATTTAGAATTCCCTATGGTTGAGTGGGAGAGAATGCTTTTAGCATTAAGTCCGCCATGTACACATATTTGTACTAATGAATAAATAAATAAATAATTTTTAATCTGTCTATGTGTCAGTTCTAGCACCACGCAAAAACTACCGAATCAAATTGGATGCGATTTTCACAGTCATTTTTATTATTCCAAAAGGTGCAACTTAAAATCTGATGTACGTTTAACATTTATTAATCATATACGACTAAAGAAAAAACAAGTGACGACTACGCTATGGTGATAGTCGGAGATATTTGTCGAATAACAGAATGTTAACGATAAAAAAAATTAATTTCAGGAACGCACAGGACCAACATCGAGTGTAATCATGTCGTCATACAAAAGATTTGAGAAGGCAGCAAAACCAGAAAGGAAACAGCAAAGTTCCTTAGTAACAATGTAAGTATAAATTAAATAGTCTCTATTTTTTCATTTATTAGCACGACTTTAAGTAGAAAACACATATTTTTTTGATGGATGGTAATGGAATGGTAACTCCGCCTGCGCTAACGGTATACGCTGGCGGAGCACCAGTGACGGATGATAGGTGAGATGAAAGGACAGATCAGTTAGTCCATCGTGATGAATACACATGTAATTCAGCACGATGGTTTCCAGGGGGGACCACGTGGAGGTCGACCTTATAGGGTATATTGCTAGCAAATGGGCTGATAGCCCGAATTACTAACAATCCATTTCTCACTGAAATCACAAGCTATAACTAGAAGTACCAATGTTTTTTTTTAATTAACGATAATGGAATGGTAATTCCACTAGGCTATCGGTATACACTGGTGGAGTACCAGTGAGGGTGAAGTAGGTCAGCTAGCCCATCGTGACGAATTCAGCAATAAAACAATCACAATCGTTTCCAGGGGTAACCACGAGGAGGTCGACCTAATAGGATGTATCGCTAGCAATGGGGTTGCTAATCCCTAATACTAAAAATCCCTTCTCCCTCCAGCACCGATAATTATAACAGGGACTTTTTTGTATTAGATAATAATACCTTTGTCCCACTACGAGAACGATACGAGTTTTTTTATGCAACTTAGAATGGTAAACAAGCTGACAGCCATCCTGATACAAAGTTGTAACCGTCGCCTATAGACATGAGCAGCAGTAGGACTAAGGTATTTTTGCTCTGTACTCTGTAAATTCACTGCTATATCCCACCGAAACCGCCATGAAAACAGAAGTGCTTCACTCAAGCAAACGACTTTTATACAAAGTTTTACTCTGGAAATAACATTGGTTTACAACGACACCCTTATAATCGACACCAATGATACGTTTACCAGAGGGAGACTTTGTACAAAAGTCGATTACTTGGGTACGTCTGTCCCATTCATGTTTCAACCGTGAAGCAGTTGTGTTTGCATGGCTGAGTTTCGGTTTGAAGGGTGGGATATGGCGTGAATTTACTGGGTACAGAGGAATAACACCTGAGTCCTCAGAAATGGCAACGCATGGGGGGTATCATGGGCGAAACAGTATACTCTGTTGTGTCCATGGTACTACTCATGTCTATAGGCGACGGTTACCATTTTCCATCAGGTGGGCCTTCAGCTTATTTGCCATTCTAAGTTGTATAAAAAAAAAGTTACCATCCTTTAAACGTCATAATCTCAAATAAATCAAAAATCATAGATATATGTATCTTTTACACAAAAACTACTAAACAGATTTGCATGTCATTTAATACACGGGTAGATTATATACTAACTTATTAAGATTTGTCATATATGAATGCACGCAAGCAATGATTAAACCATGCATTGCAGATTCTCCGTATGGAACACAATAATGGGTTCCTCGTTGTTGACGATGGCGTGGGGAGTGGAGCGGGCTGGTCTGCCCGTGGCACTGGTGCTGGTGGCTTTCATGGCAGCCCTGTGTTTATACACGGCTTACGTGTTGCTACGTGTCAACTGTCACCATGGTAAATAATGACACGAAAGGTATTTCTATCATTATCATGATTCATTCGTTGACTATCCACTGCTGGACATAGGCCTCCTCCTTGGGGAGTTTTGTCAGTAGTTGCCACGCTTGGGAAGCGGGTTGGCAACCGTGGTCAAGCTTTGGTTTTAATAAGGATCAGTAGTTGCCACGCTTGGCAAGCGGGTTGGCAACCGCAGTTAGGCTTTGGTTTTAAGAAGGACCATTAAATTTCCTTAGTCGCTACTTACGACACCCCCAGAAAAGGTAGGAAAAGTCGATTCTATCTATGTATACCAATAAATATATATAAATAACAAATATACTTATCCCATCGTTCCCCTTCCTTTCCCATGGCTGTCGTGTATCGAGAAATGGACAGCGGCGTTTCTCTTAAAACATTATACAAAACTTAATTGCAATTGCCAACCAGACTACCAAGCGTGGGGGGAAGGGATTGTTAGTAATGTGGAGTACCAGTCCCATTGCTAGCAATATACCCTGTTAGCTCGACCTCCACGTGGTCCCCCCTGGAAACCATCCTGTTGTATTCCAGGTGTATTCATCACAATGGGCTAACTGACCTACCTTTTCATTCTCACTTATTATCCTTTACTGGTGCCCCGCCAGCGTATACCGTTAGCGCAGGCTGGGTTACCATTCCATTATCATCTATTGAAAAAAAAAAACAACCAAGCGTGGCAACTACTGGCAAAACTCCCTTTCTATAGATGAGACCCAAGTTCAGCAGTGGACAGTGAACGGTTGATAGAAGACAATAATGATGACTCCTTATATAACACAGGTACGGCGACATGCGAGGTGCCAGCACTCTGCCGGGTGCTGCTCGGCCGCTCAGCAGAGGTCGTGGCGCATGCATTCAGCCTTATAGTACTGCTGGGGGCCAATATAGTGTATTGGATACTCATCACCAACTTCTTGTACTTCACAGTCAACTATTTTGCTGGTAATTTACATGTTTCTTTCTTTTTTTACCTAATACCACAACTATCTTACCGCGAATTCTTTATGTCTTCTTCATACACTCCTTTGCTTTAATATACAAGTAAACACGCTTTAGATTCGTGTCCCTTATAATTAAGGCCCGAATGTTCTCAAATAATGTAGCATGTTTTTTCCATGGATGATAATGAAACCCCGCCTGCGCTAACGATATACGCTGGCGACGCGCCAGTGAGGGATGGTAGGTGAGAATGAAAAGACAGGTCAGGTAGCCAAACGTGATAAATTCACCTGGAATTCAGCACGATGGTCTCCAGGAAGGACCACGTGGAGATCAAAAGGACAGGGTATATTGCTAGCAATGGGACTGGTAGTTCTCTTTACTAACAATCCCTTCCCCCCAATCTATCATGCTCGTAAATCACCCTCAAGGCCGATAGAGCATTGACAACTCTCCCGACGCCGTTAGTGTCCATGAGCTGCGGTAATCACTTACCATCAGGTTACCTGCATGCTCATTTGTCCCCTTTTCACATAAAAAAATCCAATTCATTTTTATAATATGGGTAACTTTTATAATACCTGTGGCTTAATTTATTACATGGTTTCAATCTTAGAATAAAGATATTTAAATCACCCATACATTTGGAATCTACGATGTTACAAATAAATATAATGACAAACAGACTTCAAACTTATAACTTACCTATCATTATCATTATCCTCCCCCATAGACCTCTCCTATAGACTTCCCCCATACACTGCTATCGGTCCTGAGCCGCCTGCATTCACTGACTCCCTACAATGCATTTGAGGTCGTCACTCTATCAAGTGAGGATCGTCCTACACTGCGTGACGTTCCAATGTCACAGGTTAAACAACATAATTTTAGTTAACTTTAAACTTTCGCGTTGTTTACACATATTTAAAATACACAAAGATTTAACACGATATAAAAGCTTTTACAGGTAAATAGTACCTACATACCTGCTTTACATTGCATTAAGTCCGGATTGTGTATTTATAATAAATCCAAAGAGGTAATTCTGGCAGTATCTTGGGCACGCTGCCTCGGTGTAGTGCGTTGGGAATTTATAATTTATTGATAATTAGTAATAGTATATAAGAAATTGTATATGAACTTTAATTATACAAATGTTAATTGACTAAACTAATAAATAAATGTAATTTTATTCACAGATCTGCCCAATTCGAACACAACTGTTCATAACACGACACTCCTGTGTCCATCAGAAGACGGGTTGAACGGCTCTCTCATAATACCCGAACCGGTGGCTACCTCACCGTACTGGAATTTGCACAGTACGGTCCCCGTATACGTGGCTGTTATAGTGTTCCCACTGCTCAACTTTAAAAATGTCACATTCTTCACAAAATTCAATTCATTAGGTGAGTATTTAATTTATTTATTAATTAAATATACCTGCGACTGCATCCACGAGAACGGTATATCCCGCCAGCAGTATACCGGGATTACCATTCAATTTTCAACCCATCATCACATCAGTCCACTGATGAACATGGGCCTCATCCAATTCGGGGGATTTGCTAATAATTGTCACGCTTTACACGCGGGTTAGCTATTGCAGTTACGCTTTGGTAGTGTTTTAAGAGGGACGCTGCTGCCCATCCCTAGGCCACTAAGTTCTATTAATCGCCTGTTACGATACTCACGGGAAAGGAAGGGGCGGCCCATTCTATGCCAGGACTACATGGCAAACTGCAGCAGCAAAGCTTAAGTTATTGCCCCCTGTCGCGATTTTTCCAAGAGACTATACCAAAAATTTGATAGAGGTTTCTTCAAGGACGGCAATGCGCGCGTAATTCTCCTGGTAATGCAAGCATTCATAGGCTACGATACTGCTTACTATCAGGTGAGCCGTCTGCTTGTTTGCGTCTGCAATATGCAAAACGACAAACCATCGTAATTAATTCTTGTTTAATTCATCACGACGAACTCTTGTTGAATTCCTCGAACTAAACTGCTTCTTCCTCTTTTATTATACTTCACTGGTGCTCAGCCAGTTTACATCGATAGGGCAAGCGAGGTCACTATTTCATATTTAACCACTAAAAAAAAACACACGTGGACTGAAAGTCGATGTAGTGACCAAAATCGAAAAAGGAATGTTGCGTTGGTTTGGTCATTTGGAGAGGATGGATGAAAGAAGAATTACGAAAGAGATTTATCGAGCAAGAATGAATGGAGATGTCGGTAGGGGCCGCCCTAGACGGACGTATGTCGACCAAATAGGCGACGTGCTGAAGAAGGGCCAAATTAAAAGTACCCGTAACCGACGAGCGTGTATGACAAGATTGATGAATGTGGAAGAAGCGAAAGAGGTTTGTTTGAATCGAAGCATTTGGCGTTCCATTGTTTCTGCCTACCCTAATGGGAGACAGGCGTGACAGATATGTATGTATGTATGTAAAAAAACACATTTCTCCAGGTACATTGTCTGTGGCGTACTTGGTCGTGTTTGTACTAACGAAAGGCTACACGTGGGGCATCCATTTGAACAACATGGTGATTTCAACCCAAGTGGACAAGAACGCGGCTGTGCTCAGCGGAATGCTGGCATTGTCCTTCTACATACACAATATTATAATCACTATTATGAGCAATAACGCGAGACAGGACAAAAATGTAAGTTTGTTTTTTACAGGATTTGACGTAATACTATATGTATGAAACTGTACTGTCATAATAATATTTATAAAACTGAACATTCAGTAGAATAATGGAAATTTTATAATAATTATGGAAATTTTACATATAGTTTTTATTAAACCAGTTACCAGAGTGAGACTTTGTACAAAAGTCGATTGCTTAGGTACCTTTGTCTCATTCGTGTTGCAACCGTGAAGCAGTTGTGTTTGCATGGCTGTGTTTCGGTTTGAAGAGTGGGATATGGCGTGAATTTACTGGATACAGAGGAATAACACCTGAGTCCTCAGGAATGGCAACGCATGGGGGTATCATGGGCGAAACAGTATACTCTGTTATGTCCATGGTACTGCTCATGTCTATAGGCGACGGTTACCACTTTCCATCAGGTGGGCCGTCAACTTGTTTGCCATTCTAAGTTGTATAAAAAAAAATGTTGACCAATATTTAGCTTGGAGTGCAAATTTAATGCTGTTTTATGTAATATTTATTTTATTAATGTATTAATTTGTAATCAGTTGCCTTGCTATAAATAAATAAATATAAAATGAGAAAATTCATCAGTTTCAACCGAATTAAAAAAAAAAGTTTTCAATTCTATTTTCTTTTAATATTTTTTACCTCATAACTCTGTGAGTTACAGATACAGAAAAATATTTTCTTATCTGCTTACAGATTGATCCCATAAAAACTTTATCAGAATCGATTCAGGAGATAAGTTTTTCAATCAAAATAACTAATTTTCTCGCAGCTGAAAACATTTTTTTTTTAGGACAATCTTTAATTATTCCTCGAGTTATCCCTATAGATTACAGAGTGGGGTTTTCCAAGAATAGGGTATTAATGTTTCTTCAGAGTTGACAACGCGTAGATGACACCTCTAGTGTTGCAGGCGTTCATAGGCTATAGTAACCGTTTATCCTCAAATAGGCTGTATGCAAGCTACCTTTGTGGTATATTCAAATCATTGTTATTCGAATAGACTTGTTTACAAGCATTTTTAAATTGTATTTTTTTTTTAAATCTACTGCAAGAGTCGGAAAGTTGTTACATGTTGAGAAGAATTAACTACTAAATACTCATATAGTAAATTTCTAGAAACATTTGAACTACAGATCTATGGAAGAAATTAAAATATTAGCTAATATGTATCCTAATATTCTTGTTTTTTATAGGGAAGGGACCTGACTATAGCATTTGTGCTGGTAACATTGACTTATACGCTGGTTGGAGCTGTGTTCTATATCTGCTTTCCACTAGCCAAGTCTTGTATTGAAGATGTAAGTATATTTTTGTCAAATATATATATATATATATATATATATATATATATATATATATATATATACATTTTTTTTTGTTTAATCTCTTTCTTCACCTACCAGTCTTTTATATCTACTTAACGTATCTTTGTATATACTTCTATAACGTATCTTTCTAACCATATTTAAAAATATAGTTGTATATTATATTTATGTATTTGTATAGATAAATATATATTACTCTTTTTAGTAGTAATACATATAATATATTTGTACTTATTTTAGTAATAAATGCACCGCCTAATTAATTAACTGGTACAGCACACCGTTAGGTGTTATTAAATTCGCCATATGTACACTTATATAATTGTGCATTAAAGTTTAAATAGAGTAGTACCAGAGGGAGACTTTGTATAAAAGTCGTTTGCTTAGGCACCTCTGTCCCATTCGTGTATCTACCGTAAAGTTGTTGTTTTCATGGCTGTGTTTCGGTTTGAAGGGTGGGATCTGGCAGTGAATTTACAGGTATAGAGGAATAACACCTAAGTCCTCAGGAATAGCAACACAAGAGGCGAAACAGAATACTCTGTTATGTCCATGGTACCGCTCATGTCTATAGGTGACGGTTACTACTTTCCATCAGGTGGGCCGTCAGCTTGTTGGCCATTCTAAGTTGCATAAAAAAAGAAATACAATTACATAATTTACAAATGTATCTACAGTATAACTTTAAGGAAAGCTTTTCCATAATTGTTACAAGGAATAGAGTTTTTTTTTTTTATAATTCTTAATAATTTACGGTTTCACAGAACATCTTGAACAATTTCGAGATGCACGACGTGATGACTGCTGTTGCGAGGATATTGTTACTATTCCAAGTAAGTCTACACCTCCTCTCTACTAACCTATAGATTTTTTTTATGGGTGTAAATGGTATGGTAACCCCGCCTGCGCTAACGGGATACGCTGGCGGAGCACCAGTGAAGGGTGATAGATGAGAATGAAAACAGGCCAGTTAGCCCGTCATGATGTATTCATCATTATTCATTAACCATAATAGTTTCCAGGGGGAACCGCGAGGAGGTAGACCTGGTTGGGTATATTGCTAGCAATGGGATTCTCGGTCTCCATTACTAACAACCCCTTTCCCCCCACTAACCTATAGTTTATTTAATGAACGACCCCCCCCCCCCTTCGTCTTCGTATGGTATTTTTTGATAAAATACAACCTATGTTAACCGCTGATAATGCGGGTAAAATATTAATAGGTAAAATCAATTCTCTCTCTTCTCTGAATTCTGCTTCAAAGTTAGAATTAATTGGTTCTTTTGATTTGATTTAAAACCTACAGTGTTAAGCCGATTTTAATGAAATTTCTATCTATCTGAAATTATATCCTTTCAGATAGAAAAAATAATCTAAATCGGTTTATACATGATCGTTCTGAGGTATCAATTATGAAAAAAAATTACAAACCAATTAACAACCGCCTTTTTTGAAGTCAGCTGACGTTATGTATGCGTCATACATACGTTTTTTTATGGGTGAAAATGGTATGGTAACCCCGCCTGCGCTAACGGGATACGCTGGCGGAGCACCAGTGAAGGGTGATAGATGAGAATGAAAACAGGCCAGTTAGCCCATCATGATGAATTCATCAGGAATTAACCATGATAGTTTCCAGGGAGAACCGCGGGGAAGTCGACCTGGTTGGGTATATTGCTAGCAATGGGATTCTCAGTCTCCGTTACTAACAATCCCTTTCCCCCCTCATAGATACGTTGTGCATAGCGGCTATGCCGCTGCATCTATCTTTGGAATAAACCAGTGTGCTTACAACTGTCGTTGACTTAATTCGTGTCTCGCATATATAACAGTTGCGACGAAGATAATATTAAAAAAAAAACAACTACACAAAAAAAATGTCGACAACGCAATTTGGAATTTTTCCCTTTGGCCACAACAGAATATCAGTGCTTTGCACTTTTGAGGGCGAAAACTAAATTAAACTAACTAACTAAACTGTTATGGCACACGCAGAAAAAGAAAAATTTTAGTTGGCTTTATGTATTTTTTTTTAATCATTTCTCTTATCTCGCTTTTTATGTATATCTGTATCTGTTATAATTTGTGTGCTGTGAGTAATGCAAATAAATTATCTATCTATCTATCTAAATACATTTGACCACCAAATAGAAAATTGGTTGACATATAAAGGCCGACTATCCCAGTGGTTTATAATAAATAACATCACATCTACGTCTGATGCTCAAAGAATTGTAAACAATACTGACTGTCGATTAAATAATGACCCACGCAGGTGGTGACCGTCTACCCGCTAGTGGCGTTCATGCTGCGATCTGAGGCGATCCTACTGTTGCTGTTCGAGCCAACGCGATGTCTCACCGTCACCATTAATACTATTATAGTCACGATGTGCATACTGGTCGCTTGTTTTTGTCCAAGTATCGGAACTATTATAAGGTAAGGCGACAGGAAATCTACGATAAAAGAAATTTGTATAAATAAATGATTAAATTCCAAAGTATTAAAATAATAAGTTATTAAATTTACCAGAAGGAGACTTTGTATAAAAGTCGATTGCTTGGGTACCTCTGTCCCATTCGTGTTTCAACCATGAAACAGTTGTGTTTGCATAGCTGTGTTTCGGTTTGAAGGGTGGGATATGGTATGAATTTACTGGGGACAAAGGAATAACGCCTGAGTCCTCAGGAATGGCAACGCATGGGAGTATCATGGGCGAAACAGTATACTCTGTTATGTCCATGGTACTACTGCTTTATGAATAACAATGGAATGGCATCCCCGCACTGGCGGGGCACCAGTGAGGGATGACAGATAAGAATGAAAAGGCAGATCAGTTAGCCCATCGTGATAATTACACCTGGGATTCAGCACGGTGGTTTCCAGGGGGGACCATGTGGAGGTCGATCTGACAGTTACATACTAACAATATATATTGTACAAATTATTATTTAGCCTTGTATCGGTCTTATTAAGAGACCCCATATTCATTGTCCTTAAAAATTTCCCATGTACAGACATCTAGTTATAATTTTATTATACGAGGTTTGTCCGGAAAGTACGTATAAAAGTTTTTTAAAAATTTTATTTTACAATTATTCAGGTAAATCAATTTTATCCCCTTCAAAGTACTCCCCCTGTGACATAATGCACTTGTGCCAACGCCGTTTCCACTGTGAGAAGGCTCCTTGAAAGTCCTCTGGTTGTAGGTTTCTCAGCTGCCCCGTCGTAGCTTTTTTTATCTCATTTATGTCCCCCAAATGCCGCCCCCGAAGTACCAATTTGGTTTTTGGGAACAAGAAGAAGTCACACGGGGCCAAATCCGGCGAATAGGGGGTGTTCGGTCACCGTAATGGAATTTTTACTCAAAAACTCACGGAACGATCTTGGCGCAAATTTTTTTCATTTGAAGTTCGTTTCTTAGAATTTCGTGGACCACGGTTTTGCCCAAATTAAGCTCTTCAGCCACCTGTCTGACCGTTAAACGACGGTCCCCATTAACACAAGTTCGAATTCTTTCCACGTTTTCGTCGGAATGTGAAGTGGAAGGACGTCCTGAACGTGGGTCATCTTGAACGCTTTCTCGGCCCTCTCTGAATCTTTTTAGCCACTTGTGGACGGTTGGTTCCTTCACAGCATCATCCCCATAAACTGTTCTGAGATCGGCAAAAATTTCACGGCCATTCTTGCCGAGTTTCGAGAGAAACTTGATTACGACGCGCTGCTCTTCAACGGAAGCGGGCTCCATGCCGACGGGGTTTCGTTAAGAGGTAACTTCACAGATGGCGTGACAAGCCAGTTCGCACCGCACGGCGGTCAGACCAGAACTGAAGCATTGTTAGGGACATAAGGAAGGGGTCCTGCGCTTACCTGGCCTCCCCACTCCTCTTTCTCGCATTCCAGAACACTTTTATACGAACTTTCCGGACAGACCTCGTATTAGCAAGATTATAAAAAAAAAATATGGGGTAGTTTTATTATTGTCATAATTTTTTTTTAATTAAATATGTCTTACGCAGGTACACAGGAGCCGTAAGCGGTCTAATCCACATCTTTACTCTGCCATCATTACTGCAAATGCGCTCCCTCTACATCCGCGGGAAACTTACCTGGTGGAAAACTCTCTTCTACTGCCTCATCGTCGTATTTGGCGCTGTAAACTTATTGATGCAATTCTTTATTGACGAATAGACAGTTACATGTAAAATATTGGATTCTGTCTCAAAACTGAACTACTGTGTGGGTTTTTTTTATGCATAATAGCAACACCAGTTGTGGATTTTAAGGCAGACTTTGAAAAGCCAGAACCCAAAGCCGTGAAATTGTTATAAGCACAAAAGTATACAGATAAAAGAAGGTACGAGTATTTTTTTTTGAGGGTGAAAATGGTATGGTAACCCCGCCTGCGCTAACGGGATACGCTGGCGGAGCACCAGTGAAGGGTGATAGATGAGAATGAAAACAGGTCAGTTAGCCCATCATGATGAATTCGTCAGGAATTAACCATGATAGTTTCCAGGGAGAACCGTGAGGAGGTCGACCTGGTTGGGTATATTGCTAGCAATGGGATTCTCAGTCTCCATTACTAACAATCCCTTTCCCCTCAAAAGGTACGAGTATTATAGAATTTTTGAGAGTCATAAAACGTCAATATTTTATTATAATAATTTTGAATAATATTGATTCAAACATAGCCCGAAGGATAAGCAAGCTGAAGTGGCAATGGGCTGGTCACATAGCTCGAAGAACTGACAACCGATTGGGAGGAAAGGTTCTTGAGTGGCGACCTCGTACGGGCAAACGCAGTGTAGGACAAACCCCCCCCCCCTTCCTCCTCACCTGTTAGAGGTGGAGACGACCTCAAATGCATTGCAGAGAGTCAGTGGATGCAGGTAGCTCAGGAACACTCCTTATGATAGACCGTAGTCTTGTCCGTCTGTGAGAAATTTTCAAATTGTTGTTCTCTGTGAGAACTGGTAAAAAAAAACTCGACAGTCTTTTTTCCAATCATTTAAGAATTGTGTATATACCTACCAAGGAATCTCGAATAATATTGATTTTTAGCCTGGCTGTTAAATTATATATTTAAGAAACAAATATTTAATAACAATAATTATAGTGGGAATTTTAAATTCCATTCCTTTCATTAGAAAAAAAACCGATTTCAATTATACCTTTTCGACTATATATCTAAATCAAAATCGCTTTTCAATTAACAAATTCCTAATCTCTAGTCAATTATTGTAATTATTTGGAAAATTAAAACCAAATTTATTTTTTATATTAGACTGTATTTTTAAAAATAAACAAATGATAAACAAGTTAAAATGTATTCAGATATTATGTAACAATTAATGTAATGTAATAATATAATTATATAATAAACAACAATTTTAAACATCTTTGGCCAATTTCATTTTTAAATCTTTAAGAAAATTAAACATGTAAGTGCTGATATAGTTTTTTTTTTATTATTATTATTATTAATGGAAGTCGATTCTGTGTTGCAATGTCTCTAAACTTATCTATTAATCTCATATTTTAATTTGAAAGTTTCATGAAATTATTATTTTATGAATCGTCATAAACTAAATTCATTCTATTTTTTTATTGGTTAACTGGAAGAACTCCCTTTAAGGGATAAATCCGCCTGTGTACATTTCTGTTATAACCTATATATATATATATATATATATATATATATATATATATATATATATATATATATATATATATATATATATATTATAGGTGAATGTACAAAATTATTTAAATTAATAAATAAATTTATAATAATATTGACTGGAATCCTTTAGAAATTTAGTTCATGTTGGTTCGTGAATAAAGATTAAGCTAAGATTTAAATTTTAGAGACAGGTTTAAAGAAATGACCCCAAAGAATCAACCCCAACTTCAGTAGTATTAACATCAAGCCTACTAGATGTCTCATATTTTACAGGACACCCCGTTTTTCAAACTATATCTTGACAAAACATAAAAATCCTAAATAAACAAAGCTGCCGTAATATCCATTTATTAAAAATTCTGCCCTTAAAACCTATACCTATACTATATGTGAAGGCAACCAAACAAATTTCCATCACAAATAAACAACAGTTAGGAAATTGTTTCCTCAAATAATATCTATATGTAAATTTTCCCAAATAATTATTAACAAAAAAAAATTAACTAGTCACTATTCTTGTTTGGTTCCCAACTTAAAACGTAATTTAAAAAACCAAAATGTATTAACAATATTTAAGAAAAATATCTCATCTCTTATTTACACTATAGTATAAAAACTTTACATCTAGATTGAACATTTTATATAAAAAAAAAAAAGTTAAAAATAACCCTGTAGACGGTCAAGTAGCTTGATTTAATCACACATCCATTATCGCTTGTGAAACAGAGACGGAGCTATTCCGCCTTCGTTATCTGATAAATAATAATAAATACGTGAGTGATTGTAACCGATTGATCGTCTACGAAGCCCATTAATGATTACATTAAAATCTTTTAATGGTTAATTATGATCTTATCAAAGCAATTAATTATTGCAATGTACGCTTAATCGCAGATAAATTATTGATAAATTGTTTAATTATTTAATCAGTTTTATATATAATCGTGTAAACAGCCTAATAAAACTCAGCATGACATGTTTTATTTTTACTCCTAAGGGATTAAGCCATAGACAAATCATAACAGGCCCTTTAGACAAAGTACAAACGAATCTATTGATAGGATTGTTATCTCTAGTGAGCATATGAGACAACTGTGTTGATCCTTCTCATGTGAACGTTAGCTGAAGCGATTCCATCCAAAAATTTGTCTATGCCTTGTTTAAGAGGTCTGGATTTGCTTTGTATATCTCGCAGAGTTCAATGGACCTTTCAGGCTGAGGACGCATCATTATCGACGGTACGGAATGGTATCAGCAGAATATCAGTGCTACAAATTCTTTTTTATATAACTTAGAATGGCAATCAAGCTAACGGTCCATCTACGGTCGGGACATCTACGTAACGGGAATTTTATATACTATGTTTATAATTTCGTTAAAAAAAAAAGTTTTAAAAATAACATACTACGACTCTTAGACTGTTTACCAAATATGCCAAGTTTAAAAAAGTAACAACAGATGCGTTTACGTGATGACGGTGGGCGCGTCCCGGCCCGTGTACTCCTGCAGCCGCGACACCTGCAGGGCCACGGCCACCAGCGGCCGCAGCATCACCTGCGCATCGCCCAGCACCTCCTTCGCCTCGTAGGAATCTATGTATAATCTGTGGGGAAGAAAAACTCACTTTTCAATACCATAGAGCACATTACACAGTGTTGCCACTTGTAGAAATACTTAAGAGCATTCATAACTTTTTCTTACCGAAGTGTGGCAACATCGCATTTATATCTGTCAATTTTCAAAAACAATTCAATATTTTTCAATGCTTCCGATTATTATTATCAGATATTAACTGAAGACAACAGCTGTATAGGCTTAGTCCTTTTGCCTTCCCTAAGTATAGGGAAAACGGAACCAAAAAAAAATTTTCTAGTCAGAAAGTTTTAAATAACCAGTCGGTTATTTAAAAAGAGCACTGATAGCGAAACTTGTTGTTTTCTATCGGTTCGATAGATTAAACTATAATTATAATCAAAGCTTTTTTTTTTATACAACTTAGAATGGCAAACAAGCTGACGGCCCACCTGATGGAAAGTGGTAACCGTCGCCTATAGACATGAGCAGTACCATGGACATAACAGAGTATACTGTTTCGCCCATGATACCCCCCATGCGTTGCTATTCCCGAGGACTCAGATGTTATTCCTCTGTACCCTGTAAATTCACGCCATATCCCACCCTTCAAACCGAAACACAGCCATGCAAACACAACTGCTTTATGATTGAAACACGAATAGGACAATGGTACCCAAGCAAACGACTTTTGAACAAAGTCTCCCTCTTGTGTTGGTGTTACTTTGTTTCTGCCTACACCAATGATAGACAAGTGTCACAGATATGTATATAAAAACTGAATAATCGATAACCAGAGGTAGAAACAACATGTATAGTTATGGAATCTAGCGACTCTAATTACCTCCATTTATATGATAATGAACATGTTAGTTTCTTATTTATTAATAACATTTGTATAATTAGCATCTTATCTATACGGAATATATATATATATATATATATATATATATATATATATATATATATATATATAATTAAGTTATTAGTTATTATTAAATAAGAAATAAATCTATATATAGTCGATTGCTTGGGTACCCCTGTCCCATTCGTGTTTCTACCTTAAAGCTGTTGTGTTTCCATGGCTGTGTTTCGGTGGGTTATGGAGTAAATTTACAGGGTACAGAGGGATAACATGAGTCCTCAGGAATGGCAACGCATGGGGGATATCATGGGCGAAACAGTATACTCTGTTATGTCCATGGTACTGCTCATGTCTATAGGCGACGGTTACCACTTTTCATCAGGTGGGCCGTCAGCTTGTTTGCCATTCTAAGTTGTATAAAAAAATAGTATATTCATTTATTTTAACATTTGTTATGTAAGTAGGTAAGTATTATATTTATTTATAGTATATGTATGTATATGTATATATGTATATATATATATATATATATATATATATATATATATATATATATATATATATATATATATATATATATATATATATATGTAATATTCTAATCCCTTCCCTTGGAAACCATCTTGGTTAATTCTTATGGAATTCGCCACGATGGGCTAACTGACCTGCTTTCATCCTCACCTATCATCTATCACTGATACCCCGCCAGCGTATACTGATAGCGCAGGCAGGGTACCATTCCAATATCATCCATTTAAAAAAGTCTGACTAGGGAAAACATACACAACACTGCACCCAGCGTTGCCCATTATGTTACAATATTAACTTATGTAAGACAACATACCGTACTGTCGCTCCTGAGCTGCCGGTACCACTTAAACGCAACACAATCCGAGAACCGTCCTCGAATATAATGCGTAGTCCCTGCGGATAGAATTAATAAAAAATATTAACACCACAGCAACATTTTGCACAGCGCCCTCTAGTGCCAAATTAATCAAAGCACAATTTTTTTTATGAGTGATAATGTAATGGTAACCCCACCCACGCTATCAGTATACACTGACGGGGCATCAGTGAATGATGATAGGTGAGGATGAAGCAGGCCAGTTAGCCTATAACCCTTTCCAGGGGGAACTACGTGGAGGTCGACCTGATAGAGCATATTGCTAGCAATGGGGCGAATAGCGATAAGGAAACCATTTGTATCACTTCTCATTAATATTTGTGTATTATTTTTTTGAATGATAGAAAGAATGAATAAAAATTATTAACAGTAGAGTTGCATACAGTGAGGTTTCAGAGCTATTTCCTCCTGCGAACACTCAAGCTATGCAATGTACTCCCAGCCAAGGTTTTCCCTAGAGACTACAGCAAGGAGTTTTATAAAGTTTCATCATGTTCGACAACGCGCACGTGACAGCGTCCATAGTACTACAATGACCATTTACCATCAGACTGGCTGTATGCTTGTGCAACGCAACTGTGAATCACTATAGAAGCTGAAAATCAAAATCGCATCCAATTTGGGACAGTAATATTTACGTTTCGATGTTATTGCATTATATAGTAAGATTATAATTTTTATATATTCGGTAAACTTTATTCTGAGAATCCCTTTTCATTGAGCCAATTGTGAATCTATGTATATCTTATGTATATATATATATATATTTCTTTTTTTATTTGTATTTATGTGTGTAAGTTTGTTATTTACTTATGTACTAATGTTATATTATTATTTATGTACTTTTATTATTTACATATGAAAGTGTATACAGCTGTTTTTATTGTATTATATATTAAATTTTTTACTGGGTATTATTTAGTTTATCTTTAGCTGTACCCTTGTTACCCTTGTACATTGTACAAGTTTTCTTTCACCTTCTCAAAGGTTGACTGTAAGAGATCCCTTTATGGGATAAGTCCGCCATTGTTAATTAAATCTTTAGATGTATTCCGTATGAATTATGTACAATAAAGATTTTACAATACAATACAATAAGATGGCACACCTGCTTCATGGCAACACTCCGGTCGATGGGATCCATATAGGAGAAGTTGTCAGCTAACTTCACTACATACGTCTTCCCACCGCTCGAGTGCGACGACCCTATGAATCCTGGCTCCGTGATCTTCTTCTCTAGGATTTGCATCATTTCGTTGCACGGGTCACTGGCGCACTCTTCATAATCGTACCTGGTAGAAAACATAATTATACCTGGTAGAAAATGTTTCATACCTGATAAACAACATAATCATACCTGATAACCTTACTAATGTTATCAATGTGAAAGTAAGATTGTTTGTTAGTTTTTTTATACCACTGAAATGTCAAACAACCATACGGCCCACCTGATGGTAAGTGGTTACCGTAGCCTATGAACACCTGCAATACTCTAGAGTTGTTGACCCTAGAGTTAACCCTTAATTACACCTGAGGGCATGAATCACTATAAAATTTGGTATACACTATACTATACAAGAAGGATTGGAATTCCAGATGTAGCCATCACGATGGGCTAACTGATCTGCCCTTTCATTCTTACTTATCATCAGGGTTACCAGTTTGGAGGGGCACCAGTGAGAGATGACAGATAAAAGCAGGTCAATTGGCCCATAGTGACGAATTCATATAGAATTAATCAAAATGGTTTCCAGGGAGAACCGCGTGGAGTTCGATCTAATAGGGTATGTAGAGGGGGGGAAGGGATTGTTAGTAAGAGAGAGGTTAGTTCCCAATATCAGGTCGACCTCCACGCGGTTCCCCCTGGAAACTATCATGGTTAATTCTAGTGAAATTCGTCACGGTGGGCTAACTGATTTGCTTTCATGCTCACTTATCAACCTTCACTGGTGCCCCGCCAGCATATACCGTCAGCGCTGGCGAGGATATAATTTCATTATCACCTATAAAAGAAATAGGGTATTGATATACCCTATTTTTTTTATAGGTGATAATGCTATTGATATAGCAACAGGCTGTTAGATCCCAAATACTAACAATCCCTTTCCCCCAGCAGTAAGGGTCATTACAACTATCACCTTCTTTGTACAAAAATGCTCACCTGGTGAAATAGTTGCGTCCAAACTGTCGCCAATGAGCCGTGAGGATCTCCTCTACGGACTGGCCGAGGGCTGCGATGACCTGCAGCCAAGCGAGCGCCGCCCACAGCCCGTCCTTCTCGCGGATATGGTCTGATCCAGTACCGAAGCTTTCTTCCCCGCATAAGGAGAGGCGACCAGCGTCCATCAGGTTGCCGAAGTATTTCCAACCTGGAAAAGATATTGATGCTATTTACCACGGCTGAATATAGACTTTCCCCATAGACTGGATATAAAGATATAAGAATAAGGAATGGTCCCGAGCCAGTAATTGCCACGCTTGGTAGGCGGATTGACAACTGGAGTTAGGCTGAGGGGAAAGGGATTGTTAGTAATGGAGACTGAGAATCCCATTGCTAGCAATATACCCAACCAGGTCGACCTCCTCGCGGTTCCCCCTGGAAACTATCATGGTTAATTCCTGATGAATTCATCATGATGGACTAACTGGCCTGTTTTCATTCTCATCTATCACCCTTCACTGGTGCCCCGCCAGCGTATCCCGTTAGCGCAGGCGGGGTTACCATACCATTTTCATCCATCAAAAAAAATTGAGTTAGGGTTTGGTGATGTTTAAAAAGAGACACTAAATTCCCTTAATCGCCTCTTACGATATCTACGTGAAAAAAAATGGTGGTCCATTCTATGCCGGGACCACACGGCACTGTATAACATAGAACATTGCAACAGACAATTTTTTGCTCCACAAAGAAAAACCGCAGATTCAATCGTTACTAAATTGTGACGGGAACAGAACTAAGACTGTAAAAATAATTATGTAAATCGATTTTGTATTGGAAACGTAATTGCATAATAGAATTGCGGCAAATGAACGTTATTTTTTCGTCGCCAATAAAGACATACGAATTTAGACTCTATTCCTTTTAATCAAACACTCTTTGTACTTTTTTAAAGGGTGATAATGGTATGGTAACCTCACCTGCGTTACCGCTAAACACTTGTGGGGCACCAGTGAAAAATGATAGGTAAGGATAAAAAGGCAGGTCAGTTAACCCATCGTTAGGAAATCAACAATAACTTATTCACGATGGTTTCCAGGGGGAACCGCGTGGAGGTCGACCTGATAAATTGTATTGACAGCGACAGGGACAAACTTACCCATTACTAACAATCCTTTCCGCCCATACTCTTTGTACTATCACTCACCAGTGGGCACTTCAAAGATTTCCCTTCCAGTAGCGGCAGCCACGCGGTCGACTGCAGCGGCGGTGGGCATACTCCGCGCGAAGCCCTGCACTCCACTTTTTTGGAAGTATGGAATGTGCTGCAGATTGTTCGCCAGCACGGCCAGTGAATCTGACGGCGTCACGAAGAACGCACCGCGACCGATTATCATGTTTCGATCACCTGGGAATAAGGAGTTCGATAGATGTCGCCACTGTATATTAAATTTGCTTGTAAAGCGAATACTTTACTTTGGGCCAAATAATTGTCCAGTGCATTAAAAAATAGATAAAATTACCTGCATTATGGTAAAATAGAAGAATAATAATACAATAAATAACTTCTTGTTTTTTTTATACCACTGAGGTGGCAAACAAGCATACGGCCCACCTAATGGGAAGCGGTTACCGTAGGCTAAGAACGCCTGCAATTAGTACAAACGTTGTTTTGAAAGATTAATCATGAAAATAATTTACTTGCTTTTATTAGTAATTGTAAACCTTTGTTTTTGAGTATTCAGTAATAGATAATTTTCTAGATTGTGGCATTACCGTCACCATCGAAGGCGGCGCCGAAGTCGTAGTCACCGTTCTTGACCGCAGCAACCAGATCAGCGGCGTACGTCAGGTTGGGGTCCGGGTGGGCCCCGCCGAAGTCCTCCAGCGGGGTCGCGCGGCGTATGTTCCTCTCCAGGGCACCGAGCTCGTCCACGAAGATCCTTTTTACGTATGGACCCGTGACTGGAGCAAAATAAAAATATAATTACTGCTGCAATTCCAAAAACATCAGTTTGCCAACATTTAAGCAATGTAAAGACAATTAAACAAGTACCAAATTTAACACCACATAGCCATGTCAATAAATTTAAAATTAATACGAATGGATGACAGGCGAGCATGTTCTGCGACGTTACATTACCAAAATGGCCGGTCTTCAGCGCAGTGTGGCCGAGATTAGCAAATTGTATGTGTACCAGAGGGAGACTTTGTACAAAAGTCGTTTACTTGGGAACCTCTGTACAATTCGTGTTTCAACCGTGAAGCAGTTGTTTGCACAGCTGTATTTCAGTTTGAAGGCGTAAGAGGCGACTAAGGGAACTGGTCGAAGGATGGGCCGCAGCATCCCTCTTAAAACATCTATAAAATCCAACTGCAATTGCCAACCCGCCTGCCAAATGTGGCAACTATTGGCAAAACTCCCCCAAATGAAAAGATAAATATACTGTTGCAAACAAACAAACACTCTTCTTTCTCTGCTAAAAAATATCTTACCCCCGTTCATAGAATCAATGAGCACATTGAAAGGCCTTCGTTTTTCTGAGCCTTGAATCAGGGCCTTGATCTTGGAAAAGTCGAATATCTCCTTCATGTACGCCACATAGTCCTGCACCGAGTCAATGACCTCCACTGTGAACTGACGGCCATCGATCTGTCAACAGATTTGATAACTTATTACAAAGATTTAGATTTATTATTGCTATCTCTTAAACTTTTATTAGAAGATTTCAAAATAGAATTTAAAAAAATATGTATATAAAAACTATATGGCTGTAAAAGCTGCCAGTATGTCAGAAACACTTAACAATACTATTCTTACTCTACGTCGACGTTTCTCCACCAATACCTCTTAACCGACTTCAAGAAATAGTCGTAGAAATATTTAGTTCAATTGTGACAACACCAATTATTTTGATCTAAAAACTAAATTACTGAACCGATTTTGATATAATTTCTTTTGGACCAATCTGTAAGTATATACTCTCAAAAAAAAAAATTTTTTTTAATCGATTTATAATCGAGTACCCCATAGGTAACAAACATACAAAACAAAAAATAAAGAAAATATTTCTCCTAATATAGACGAGCAAAACCGTAGGTTACAGTAAGTTTAAAAAACATCACTCATATGTTATTTACGTATATAATCAAGATATGTAATTTAGATATGTACATATGTACCAAATTTGACTTTCAATGATAAGATTCGAATCATTTGTGCACTGTAATGTAATGAAAAAGTCATGGTCATTGGTTGTTAATAACGCAAAAAATGTACATAACACTTAAAAAAAAAGCACCTTGAACCGTGACAGAGAACACCATTAAACAATAAATAAATAATGGTTAGTGCTACCAAGATTATATAAACAGGTTAATAAAGACTACATATATTTTTTTATGTTAATGGGTGAAAATGGTATGGTAACCCCGCCTGCGCTAACGGGATACGCTGGCGGGGCACCAGTGAACGGTGATAGATGAGAATGAAAACAGGTCAGTCAGCCCATCATGATGAATTCATCAGAAATTAACCATAATAGTTTCCAGGGGGAACCGCGTGGAGGTCGACCTGTTTGGGTATATTGCTAGCAATGGGATTCTCAGTGTCCATTACTAACAATCCCTTTCCCTCCAACTACATATATTAGGGTCAACAAAGCGCCTGTGACATCCCTGGTCAGGCGTCCATAGGTTACGGTAATTCTCAGACGGGCCATATGTTTGTTGGCCACCATAGTTGTATAAAAAAAAAACAGAGGAAACAAGAAAATATCCTAGATTATATATCTATACTAGTTGACTCGGTAAACGTTGTTTTACCATATACATTATTTCGAGAACTATACATGAACATTTATCGTACAACAATTATTATATTCGAGTGCCATTTTGCAAACCTATTGCATACTATAAAAATCGCGATTAAAAAATAGGGGTTGATCGTAAAAGGGTGAAAATTTGGAGTTGTATGTATTTTTCTATACTAAACCATAATAAAATGAAAGTAGAAAATTTTGTTAAAACATTAAAAAAAAATTTAGGGGTGGGTCATTATCATTGAGGGGTATGAAAAATAGATGTTGGCCGATTCTCAGACCTACCCAATATGCATACAAAATTTCATAAAAATCTGTAAAGCCGTTTCGGAGGAGTTTGGCAACAAACACCGTGACACGAGAATTTTATATATTAGATATAATCATAAATAAGCCAATCATAGATTATATAGGTACAGCATAGAGTCTGAAAAACGGGTCAACTTTTAGTTAGCTAATTATCAAATCAGCTGTCTTGTTTTTTTTTTAGTGCTCTATAAACTTAGGCACACAATTTTCTTTGACGTATCTATATTTCATTACTTAATAAATAAAATTAGTATTTACGCATTAAAAAGATGCAGAAATTATAAGACAAAATAAATACAGAAATTCTAAAGGAATCACTCATAACTATTTATCACGCAAAATTGTATGAAAAAGTTGACCCGCTTTTGTCGAAGCATTTGTATGGAGACACTATCTATATAATCTAAGAAAAATTTATAATTATAACAAAAAGACAGACAGACAGTGGGCTCGGTTCTGATGCATCTCTAAAGTTATATCTCTAAAATTAAAATTTGATATTACAGCGAAATCTTTGTTTTAAGGACCAATATAAACTAATTTTCTAATACTCGTAGATTTATGACAAAATTATTATAAATTTAATTTATGATGATAAATAAAACAGTAATTTCGAGAAATTATCAAAATAAAATATTAGATTAAGAGATAAAAGAGAAATTGTGACTTAAAATCCACCCCAGTGCAGCGATGGGATTCTCTCGGATTTATGTTGTAAGTAGATAGAGAATCATAAACAGCTCTAATTTTCAATGGATCCCTATAATCTTTTACATTATAATTCACTAAAAGAATAGTGTAAAAATTTTACTTCAGTATTCTAAATTCAAATTACATAATTCTCATTTAAAATAAGAATTATCTAATTTGAATTTAGAATGGGGAATCGTGCGTCTACAAGTAGGTTTTACATCATAAAAAGCAATTGCTCTGACAAGAGAGTAAACCCCATCGACAACAAAAAATAATTATCAAAATCGGCACATAATTGATAAAGTAATCACGTAACATTTCACAAAAAAATACAATCGAATTAGTATCCGCTTCCTTGTAAAAGTAACTTATATTTATTTATTATTTAAACATAAACGCCAAGTAATATTCTATGTACATTTGGCGAACTTAAGGGCAGGGGGAAAGGGGATCTTGTATAACATTTGCATTTGGGGTTGCAGAAAAATATTACGGCACGTTACATGAGGGGGAGAAAGGGTCGAAAATTTTCAAAAATTACGTTACATAATACTTGAATGTCCCTCAGAAAATAAATTCATACTTACATTAAAAGTTTGTGTACCAATCTTATCGATTGGGACAACGAGATCTGGAACGATCTTGTACTGTTTTATGGCTGTGGTGAGTGCATAAATCTCGTTGGTGGTGTGATCGGGCGCCGGACCGCCATTGCTGCAGTTGAACTTGATACCGAAATCATTGTTAATACCGCCAGGATTGTGAGATGCGGTCAGGACGATGCCACCTTTTAATACAAATTATTTATTTATACTAGGAATATTTTTAATGGGTAAAAATGGAATGATATCCTCACCTGCGCTATCGGTATACACTGGCATTGGCGATAAATGAGGATGAAAGGAAATCCATCATAACAAATTCCTTATGAATTAACCATGATGGATTCCAGGTTTTTTCCAAAATTTTTTTCACTACCAACTTCCAGAGGAACTTAATATATACTTATCTTTTTTTTTTTATAACACAGGGGGCAAACAATCATGCAACTCGCCCGATGGTATATGACCACAGCCACCTATGATCACCCACAACACCAAAACATTGCAAGTGTGCTGCCAGCCTTTTAAAAAGAAATATGCTCTTTTTTGTTGTGATGATATCATATCAGTATTGCTCATGCCACAGATAATAATAATACAATACTAGCCCATGACTAGTGAATAGATATGATAATATCACAAGGATCCCACTCACACATGTACTCATAATTGTAAATGTATTTAAAAATTTTATTTTACTTTTTGAAATTCTATGTGCCAGTATTTTTCTAGAACTACCCTCACTTTTATAAGTTTTTATGGGAAAATCTAATATTATGTATAGGGTACTAAGATTAATTTGTGTTGTTCCTTATTGATTCTCTATATAATAGATATAGAGGATTTTTTCTGTGGGGGGAGGGGTACTTAAAATTTCTAGTTATATACATGATAAAAATCATTTATAAAATACAATAAATATAAGTAATGTTTAAGCATTATTAAGTCAATGTCAAATTTATTGGTTTTTTTTTTTTTTTCATGATGCAATATCTTTCTTTTTTTTATTTTAGGCATCTTATATTTTTCTATAGATTGAATCACTCTTGTTTAACAAGTAATTGATATATCATATAAGTTCGGTACTGTTGGATATACCTATGTTTAACATATTTTTTTTCTGTACATTGAAATATTTAAAGGTAATTTACTTACCAAGGGTCTTATATTTTCTAATAATGCAAGAAACTGCAGGTGTTGACAGTATGCCATTTTGCCCCACCAGCAATTTTGACACCTGGCAATAATATTTTCAATAGGATGAGGATTATTTCTACTGAGCCCTAAGTGTACAGGTAATGTTTTTGCGTCTTGGAATTACAAATAAGCTAATTGCCCATCTGATGAAAAGTAGTAACTGTCAATCTATAAACATGGACAGGAAAGGCCTGTGTTGCCAATCCTAAGGAATATGGTGTCATATCTCAATAATTATAATAAATACATTATAATTCTTTATTGCTTCTGACTACAATTATAAATATCTACTAAATATGCCCTGTATATGTCTAATATACCCCATGTGCACTATGGGCAAGGAACTTAAAAAAATTTTGAAGATTATATTTTTTCAATACCAATTTTATGGGTTTAACTCATAGTGTTCCTCGACGGGAGCACCATAAACATTTTTAGAACTGGGATAAATTTTATTCAAGCTTCTATATCTCAGAAATAGGGTGATATACAATAAATGAACCCATAAAATTGGGTATATTGTGATTTAAAAAAAATCATCAAAACGTTTGACCTTTGTAAAAAAAAATACTATTTCTATTTTTTGTAAGGCTCTTTAATTATGTCTCTATTCATACACCCCAACTCAAACTTAACTCGACTTAACAAAAACTGCAACTATTGGTACACACTGACCGATTTTTCTTTTGCATCTACTAAATTAATAAATATAGAAGAAAGTGATAAATGAAACTAATACTTCAAATAACTTTGTAGGTTTTATTTTTTATGTATTTAGTAGTATTTCTTAGTGTAATAATAAATAAAAAATTAACAGAACAAAACATTATAAAAAAAAAAGACAGAAAAAATTTAAATAAAATATCTAACTTGTATAATATTAAAAGTTCGTCATTAGAGTAATCAAACTAGATATAATACAATATAACTATTATAGCGTATTCACCGCCAAAACAATATTCTAAACTTTTTTTTTAAAACAACTTACCCCATTAGCAGCAGAAATCTTAATAATCTTGTCAACCACTTCTTTTACAAGGTATCGGCCATCTCCGCCGACGACTAACGTTGACCCCACTATAGCCTCTTTATTTGCATCTAGAATACTCTGTATAAAGTTTTCTGTATAATTTTCCTGTAGAAAAACTTTAACTTTCTTTCGTAAGCCACTAGTACCCGGCTTTTGTCCTTCATAAACGTTAGTATTCACTGTAACTACAGCAGGCATCTTTAATTAATGTAACAATTCTAATAGCACTAACAAGTCTTATCTTATTAAATCCTTATATTAAATAATATAATTAGAAATTATCACAGTTCTTAAGGTCAATAGAGACGAACAAATCGTATACTCCACTCGGTCGGATATGATTTTGACAAATGAAAAATGAACTAGGGATGCGATTAGTGACCTGTATTCGATTTATTATATATTCGATTAGAAGATTTAAAACTTTTTTAATTAATTAAAACAATATCAATTTAGTAATATTTTATTTAAATTTGTAAATAACAATATTTTAATTTAGCCTTTTTTTGATATTCATTAAATTGAGCTGCGGGATTTTAATCTTCTGAAAGATTATCATTATCTTTCTTGCAACTTTTGAAAACAATAAATCAAATACCAATTCGAATAATACTGCTTGTTCTATTTGTCTAGATAATCTAATTTGTTTTAGTATATAAAAATAACAATGTTCGTTTACGGCGCAAACGTAAATAACGTAAAATACCTGAACTTTAGACTAATATCCGTAATCACTCGGCTAATTTTAATGAAATTTTATTAATATATATTGTTTGCTCTTCTTCGAGAGATATATAGTAAGTAAAGATTTATTTTAATCGATTCAACAAAAATATTAATTGATTATCTGTCATTAAATAGTTCTTGAAATGATCGACATCCCTAAAATAAAGTATAAGTGTCAGCCAGACGTCAAATCGCAATGACATTCAAGGTCGTATGTTGATGCGTTCATTCAAATGTTAATATATTATTGCTACAGTAATAAACTATCTATTATAATGTTCTTTTAAAAACTGAACAAAAACAAAAATCTATGTATTACAAACTTAGCAAAAATTGTAGTCGCCTTCTAGTTAATAAGCCGGTTTTCTTACTACATAATTTGTCAATAGACTTTATCTTATCGTATCATATCATATTTTTAGTACTTTGTTATTTTAGTTTATTATGGATTTTAAAAAATCTGAAAAAAAATCAGTCCAATATTTAGTGACAATTTTTTTTTTAGATTAAGAAATCAATGAACTAACACCACAGATTAATACAACAAACTTACAGGATTTTCGTTTTGTGTGCATGTTAGACGAATTCTTCGATCTTCCTTAATTCTGTGTACCAATAAATAAATTCACTATGAACCAATTTTAATAATACTATCTAAAATTAATAGGATATGCATGATGTACACTGAATAGTCCATAACTGAAGTCGTTATTTATTTAAAATAAAAAAAAACACTTTATTTTTACTATAGCACTTTCTTACATTACACCATTAGGCATGTTCCTAGAAATAAGATCTATTTATTATAAATATGTATAGTTTTCAAAATAAAATCCATCTAAAAGACAATAAACAATCAAAATTACAATTTTTATCAAATACTTATCACAAATCATAATTCAATTAATAATATCCGTAAACGTAAAATAGGAATTTTAGGTATATTTACTAGGGATGGTAATATATAGCAATATCTACATAATTTAGTTACAATATGTAGCAGTGGAAGCGTGCTGGGCCCATAACCCGATGGATGTGGAATGTTACTGGAGACCAATAATTTTATTTTATAAGTAAATATTTTATTACGTACAATGTTACAGAGATTATTTTAGTGACCAGACAAAAATATTTCTTTTTCTAATTAATTGAGCTGTAGGTCTATGACCGTGTATAACCTCTTTGCTTATTAGCAAAGGCCTCCTCCAACTGCCCCCAATCGTCTCTATTGCTAGCAATTCTTGTCCAAATTCCACCTGCTTCAGCCCTAATGTCATCTACCCAATATAGAAAACTACAATTAATAAAAATATTCTCCATCAGCCGTGAACTCTCCCATAAGAGGGGGTATGCCAGTAGTTGTCACACTAGGCAAGTGGGTTGACAACCACAGTTAGACTTTGGTGATGTTTTAAGAGGAATGTATATTCTGCTCATCCCTCAGCCATTAAGTTACCTTAGTCGCCCATTACCACACCCTGGGAAAGGAAGGGGTGGTCCATTCTACGTCTACACTACACAGCAATAAAAATATAGAAGAGATAAAATTTGTTTATTTATATATAAAGGGTATTTTTATATTCCTACAAGTACTTTTATAGTAAACATATAGTCGCTTTATAACTATATATATTAAATTATATAATCAAAACTGACAAGTTCCCTAATTATTGTATAAAACGCCACAATGGCAGTTTTATTCCTATTGCCGTATTCTGCAGGCCATGACTGCACCGCCGAACTCTCTTTCTAAATACTTCGCGACGGCCAAACACAGCGCGTCGTTGTGCGGAGCTGCCACTACCTGGATACCGAGTGGCAGACCCTTCTTGTTTACGCCAATTGGTACCTGATGAATAAAAAGATAATTTGTAGAGAGTAACTAAATTAAATAAGACCAGGATATTATATAAGTTGGGGGGAAAGTGATTGTTAGTAATGAAAACAAGCCCAATTGCTAGCAATACACCCTATCAGGTCGACCTCCACGCGGTGCTCCCTGTGCGGTGCGGGAAACCATAGTGATTAATTCTTGTTCAATTGGTCACTATGGGCCAACTGACCTATATATATATATATATATATATATATCATCAGTAATTTCCACGTTTGGTAGGCGGGTTTGTAAAAGGTTTCCATGCCGGGACGTACACTTAAAAAAAAGTATATACAGTAGATAAATAAGTACCTGTGTAGCAGGACTCTTGAGTACATTGACGATAGAGAAATACGCGCTATTGTATGGCCGCAAGTAGAACGTGTAGTGGTAGGGCGTCGCGTACGGAGAACACGGTAACAGTAGCACGCTGTCATTGCCAAGCTTGGACTGCAACAAATAAAGATATACCACCAATTGTCCGGTCCATGAACAGCAGATATACTCTTGAATCTAATATGAATATCAATTTTACTAGAGGGAGACTTTGTACAAAAGTCGATTGCTTGAGTACCTCTGTCCCATTCGTGTTTCAACCGTGAAGCAGTTGTGTTTGCATGGCTGTGTTTCGGTTTGAAGGGTGGGATATAGCGTGAATTTACTGGGTACAGAGGAATAATACCTGAGTCCTCAGGAATGGCAACGCATGGGGGGTATCATGAGCGAAACAGTATACTCTGTTATGTCCATGGCACTGCTCATGTCTATAGACGACGGTTGCCACATTCCATCAGGTAGACCGTCAGCTTGTTTGCCATTCTAAGTTGCATAAAAAAAAAACTTCTATAAAAATAATGAAAAATTTATTTGCAAACATGTGTATATAGTAGGTACAAAGACATACTGGTTATTCTTTGTAGGATTTGTATAGATCTAACATATTTTGCTGGGGGGAAAGAGATTGTTAGCAATGGAGTTTGACAGCCCCATTACTAGCAATATGCCTTATTAGGTCGAACTCCACGTGGTTCCCCCTGAAACCATCGTGAACAATTCTTGTTGAATTCGTCACGATGGGCTAACTGACCTACTTCATCCTCACCTATCATCCTTCACTGGTGCCCCGCCGGTGTATACCGATAGCGCGGATGGGGTTACCATTCCATTATCATCCATTGAAAAAAAAAAACATATTTTGCTAACATTAGCGGGCAAAATGATCTACCAAGGACAGTGGCAGCTTTAAATTGATTAATTTAATATTTATTCTCATTTGTTTTATAGACTTTTCTCTTGAAAGTATGGCTAGCCCAATTCAATCACAATACTAATATCTCCCCTCTATCCCTCTACATCTATCTTGTATCATCCACTTTTATAACACGTTTCATGCATGAACGCCAATTCGCATGCATCACTAAGTAATTAACGTTGGTAATTAACGTATCTATAAAAATCACTCAAGCGTACGTGTATACTTACAAATAAATCGTCTTTTAGATCCTTTGTTAGTTTTTCTGCCCAGTCAGCTTTGATACTTGGCAACACTTGACTCTCCAATAATTGCATTATAGTAAAAAAACAATGCCTACTCATAAAGAGCATCTGAAAATATATTTATTTTTATTTATTTATTCATTAGTACAAATATGTGTACATGGCGGACTTAATGCTAAAAGCATTCTCTCCCAGTCAACCATAGGGAAGCGTCAGAATATTCGAATGCGGTACTAGTAATTATTGGTATACATACATACTAAAATTATAAAAATATATATAAATAACAAATATACTTACACATATATAACATATACTATATTATATACGAAATTGAGAATAATATAAAGTACTTACTATATATTTATGAAAAGTAAAACCGAACAAAAACTGCTAGATATTCTGATGGGTAAAATTTCACTAATAAATATCTCTTAAATTCTGAATATAACTGATAGCCCATATTAAAAATATGGTGACTGAACACCCACCTATTCATGTGCTAATGGAATCGTCATCATCATCATACCAGCCTTTAACTGTCCACTGCTGAACATAAGCCTCCCCCTTGGGAGGTTTTGCCTGTAGTTGCCACGCTTAGCTAGTAGATTGGCGAACGCCTTTGAATCTTCAAAGCCTAACTGAATTTGTCCCGCGTGTCCCTCTTAAAACACCTGTTTTGAGAGGGATGCTACTGCATATCTTTCGCCCCCCTTAGTCGGCTCTTACGTCACCCATGGGAAAAAAAAGACGTGGTCTATTCTACGCCGGGACCACACAGCCAGCTAATGGGATACTAAAGAGTAATCGACCAACGGGCGCGGATCTGAAGGTCACTGGAGTTCCTTCCAGAAGCTTCAGATAAGGTCTCTTGGCCTGAAGATTATCCCGAGGCGAATCTTTATTATTATTATTATTATATATTCTTTATTGCACTAAAACATACAGTAACAACAATAAGTTAATAACAATGTTAGCAAAGGCGAACTTATCTCTAAAAGAGATTTCTTCCAGTCAACCTGACACAGTGGCATAGGAAGTAGTGAGTGGGCAGTAGTAGTGCAAGACGGAAATTTAAATAAATATTTACATAAATTATAAATAATTATATATATATATATATATATATATATATATATATATATATATATATATATATATACACACATACATACATACATACACATATACATATATATATATACACACACATACATACATACACACGTTAAATACATCATATAAATATCAGATACAAGAGAACACAATGATGACAGTCTTCTAATCATTTGTATATTTAAATTAAATTGGAAAGATAGAAGAAGAATCTTTCCCCTTTAGAAGAAGATTAACATATTATTTGCTCGTTAACACATTAGCTTAAGTTCTATTTCGAATTTTTCTTTTCTTACGCTTATGTATTACTTTTTGCTTCTCTAATCGTCGCTTCCATAATCTTCGGAAGACAATGATAATAAAATTCGATATGTCATAACCATAACAGATTGGGGGGAAAGGGATTGTTAGTCATGGGAATTAGCAACCCTATTACTAGCAATATACCCTATCAGGTCGACCTCCTCATGGTTCTCCCTGGATATCATCGTGGCTAATTCATTGGTGAATTCGTCACGATGGGCTAACTGACCTACTTCATCTTCACTTCTCATCCCTCACTGGTGCCCCGCCAGTGTATACCGATAGCGCAGGCGGGGTTACCATTCCATTATCATTCTTAAAAAACAAAAATCATAACAGATTGTGGCTCAAAGAAAAAAATACCACTACTCATATTGCAATATGGACTGTCTACAGGAATTTAATTATAGGACCAAAATGTATAGCATTATAGCTTAATAGCACTAACAAAGTTTAGAATATTCATAAATTGAATTAAAGTAATTAGGACTCTATTTGCAATGAATAGGGTTTACTTCCGTATTAGAGCTATATTATACCAGAGAGGCTTTGTACATAAGTCATTTGCTTGCGTACCTCTGTCCCATTCGTGTTTCTACCGTAAAGCAGTTGTATTTTCATGGCTGTGTTTCGATTTGAAGGGTGAGATATGACAGTGAAATTATAGGATTCAGAGGTATAAAACCTGAGTCCTGCAACGCATGAGCGCCAGTATACTCTGTTATATCCCTGGTACTGTTCATGACTATAGTCGACAGTTGCCACTTTCCATTAGGTGGGACGTAGCTTTTTGGCTAATTTGTTGTATAAAAAAATTACCTTTTTAATGAGTTCCACTATGGCGTTAGGTTCCGATTTACCATTGTTGTACATACTGGAATAATTATGGGGTTCCTTATTCATCCAGTATAACCAGAGCCGGTACATATAGTTGAATCCTTCGTGATGATAAGGTTGGGGAGGGTTGGCGGCCGTGGTAACATCCCGCCTAATTTTTGATACGACCCTGAAAGTCAATAAAACTTCACAATATCTAATAAAAGTATGGTATATATACTACGATCCTCGTAAGCTGGCCAAATGGCAAAACTGGCCCATACTGCACGATCGATATTTTTTTTTATTGTTAAAAAGTATAAAGTAATTTAATTTTTATACTTTATTGTACATACATAGTAATAATATACATACAATTTACCAGAGGGAGACTTTGTACAAAAGTCGATTGCTTGGGTACCTCTGTCCCATTCGTGTTTCAACCGTGAAGCAGCTGTGTTTGCATGGCTGTGTCTCGGTTTGAAGGGTGGGATACGGCATGAATTTACAGGGTACAGAGGAATAACACCTGAGTCCTCAAGAATGGCAACGCATGGGGGGTATCGTGGGCGAAACAGTATACTCTGTTATGTCCATGGTACTGCTCATGTCTATAGGCGACGGTTACCACTTTCCACCAGGTGGGCCGTCAGCTTGTTTGCCATTCTAAGTTGTATAAAAAAAAACATAAAATATATGACAAAGGTAAGCAAATGTACAAAGACAAGTTTAACTCTAAAAGAGTTCTCGTCCAGCATACCCAAAATGGAAAGGAGCATCAATGTCATCGGGTAGAGTGGTGTACAATATTGTGACAATTTGCAAACAAAAAGAACTAACTTAAGTTTGTCAAGTTTAAACAACTAATTATTGTCATATTTTTATACATTACATTTTATACCAATATATTATATTTTATACCAATTTTAAACCTACTTATTAATTTTAAACCGGTTAAATTTTTTAATAAAAAAAAAACATTTTTAATTGAAATGTCTTACACAGTAAGTCAGTGTCTAAGCTACATACCTTTGCATAACAGCTTTCAGCTCTGACCTGATTGGGCTGACCTGACAATCATAACTCGTCTCCATATAGTAGTATTTGAGGTTCTGAAAGAAACACCCAATAAACATTACTTTTTGCAGTTAAAACTAATTACAACTTAAACCCAAAACAGGTAATGTGGTCGACTCTGAGGCATTATTTTTCCAAGCCCATCTCTAAAATTTAAATTTCAATTCGATATCACAACAAAATCTTTATTCTAAAGGCAAATATGAACTAAATTTCTAATAGATTTATGTCGTAATTACTATAAATTTAATTTATTCATGGTGATCCATAAAACAATAATACTGTAAAATATTAAATTTAGACATTTCATTATCTACCAAATTAAATGTAAGTACTTGTAAGGCTGTGTTACAGTTTGAAAAGATACATATATCTTTTTTTGTATGGGTGAAAATAGCATGGTAACTCAGCCTGCGCTTTCGGTATACACTGGCGGAGTACCAGTAAACGGTGATAGATGAGGATGAAAAGGCAGGTCAGTTAGCCCATCGTGATGAATACACCTGGAATTCAGCACAATGGTTTCTAAAGGGGACAATGTGGTGGTCGACCTACCTAACAAAATATATTGCCAGTAATGGGATTTGTAGTCCGCATTACTAACAATACTCGGTAAACGTCGTTATGCTCTCCACCGCCACCTACCGGATCCCTACCTTAATATCAACTTTCCTGTCCAAATTAAGAAGGCCAGCTTTATCTCCAGCTACCACTTTAGTAAGGGGGGCAAGGTCCTCTACGTGCTTCGTTATAAAGCCGAGCGCAAACATAGACGGCCCTTCATCACCCTTACGATAAAATACACCTGAAATACAATATATACAGAATACTTACTAAAATTCCAAAATATATATACATGGGCAGTACCATGGACATAACAGGGTATACTGTTTCACTCATGATACCCCCCATGCGTTGCCATTCCTGAGGACTCAGGTGTTATTCTCTGTACCCTGTAAATTCACGCCATATCCCACCCTTCAAACCGAAACACAGCTATGCAAACACAACTGCTTCACGGTAGAAACACGAATGGGACAGAAGTGCTTTTTTTTTCTAACTGTTTAATGCTGTTGGCCGTCGATGGCCTTTACAACTTCACCGAACGCGTGAAAGCAGGGGCCAGTGCAGAAGGCACCCCAAGCCCGCGAGAGGGGAGCGACAGAGGCGTCAGCTCTTTCTAATGGACTGCGGTGTGCGCCCGAGGGTGTTTAAGTGGCTCGAACCTCGGCTCGGGCCGCCACACTTCGGCCCTCGTCGAGGAACGGTGGTTCGGCGGATCTAATTTTCTATAGAATTGGCCTAAGCAAACGACTTTTATACAAAGTCTCCCTCTGGTAAAGTTGTCCGCGAGTCCTCGGGATTGGTCTCCTAGTGTCGTTCGTTCCTGCTATAATACGAATTAAGAGATAATAATCATAAATATTTACCTCTCAGATTAGTGGTATCAGCTGTTGGATGGTGACCAAACATACCACAGAAAAATGCCGGGATCCGAATTGAACCACCAATGTCCGAACCTGCAAACCGATACACGATCATCAGTGACTACCCTATTCTTCCGGATTATCTAAAATTTATCAATTCACGATAGTATCCTTTTTAATGGGATAAAAATGGAATGGTGACTTCGCCGTATCAGTATACGCTGGCAGGGTGCTAATGAAGTGAGCGATAATGGGTGAGATCGAAGTCAGATCAGAGTCTACAGTGATTTCATCAGGATAGGCCATCTTGATGAATTCACTAGGAATATCCAAGTAAACTTAATTATAAGCATTTTGGAATAGTATTTTTTTATGAATCTACCAACCAGTTCGGAACACAATATGAACTGAGAAGAACGGGCAAGAAACTCAGCTGTTACCTTTTTTTTTTCAAATATAAGAATTGCCCATTTTAGTTTCTAGGTGGTTCTTTTTTTAATGGCTGTGAATGGAATGGTAGCCCCGCTTGCGCTATCAGTATACGTAGGAGGGAAAGGGATTGGAAGTAATGGGGTTTAACTAGTAATAGTATAGCTAGTAATGAGGTTACTAGCTATATACAATATCTTTCTTGTGAAATCATTTCATCATCGTTATCATGTCAGCCATTATCCGTCCACTGCTGGACATAAGCTTCTCCCATAAACCGCCATAAAGAACGGTGCTGAGCCACTTGCATCCGCTGACTCCCTGCAATGCAGTTCAGGTCGTCACTCAAGAACCTTTCTTCCCCATCGATTGTCGGTTCTTCGAGTGACCAGGACATTGCAACTTCAACTTGGTTATCCTTCGGGCTTTGTCGGTTATTTGGATTATTTTGTGGATATCCTCGTTTCGGATTCTATCACGCAAGGAGACTTCGAACATAGCCCTCTCCATTTTTTCTTGTTAAATTTGATATACCAGCTTTCATCTTCACCTCATCTTTCACTGATGCCCCGCCTGTGTATACCGATAACGCAGGCGGGGTTACCATTCCATTACCACCCATTAAAAAGATATTATGATATTGTTTACAACGGAGCGATTCGTCCCTATTAATAATAAACCTTCTACCTATTTTGAACTAAATAGCACTGTGTAGTATGTCGAATATTCCGTCAACTCACATAAACTGATGGGAGTTGCATAAGTAGCCATCAATGCTGCCTCAGCGCCGCTGGAGCCTCCTGGCGAGCGGCCTGTGTGGTGAGGATTATTGGTGGTACCATATACTGGGTTCCTAGTCTCCGGCCTGTAACATATAGGAGTTTAATTTTTTTTTATATAATCATAATGACCGTGTGTTCCCAGCATAGAATAGGTCACCGTTTCCTATCCTCGGTTGTCGTAAGAGTCGACTAAGGGAGGACGAAGGATGGAAAGCATTTCCTTAAATATCTCTAAAACCTGACTGCGGTTGCTAATCCGCCTGCCAAACATGGCAACTACTGGCAAAACCCCGCCAAGGGGGAGGCCTATGTTCAGCAATGGACAGTTAAAGGCTGATTTTGTGTTGAAGACTGCTTTCATCCTCACCTAACTGGTGACCAGTCAGCGTATAGCAAAAGCGCAGGCGAAAATACGGTCCATTTTCATAATTAAAAAATAAACATATCTGCAATTCCTTTAATGTCGCAGGTGCTCATGGGCGGTGGTAGTCATTTATCATTAGGTGTTCACCTTATAATAATACTCGTTACATAAAAAAAATTTTTGAAGATACCATATTAGCAATTCAGGTAAGTTGGTGCAAGCTAGTGGTATGGCCCCGGCCTTCTTCAATAACACCACAGCCTCGCTGTCTTCATCAGCTCTCTCGTTACGCCGCGCCCACAGACCCATAGTTAAATTCATGCCTTTGACGGCTTGACTCTCTTTTGTGGTGAACGGAACGCCTGTTAAATATACCCAATATATCTATTAAAACAGTGTTATTTAAAACAAAACATATTTAACAATGTTCTTTATAAGTGACTAAGGTCTCGCTGGAAAATAATCTTAAATAAGCCAGTGAGGGCCTCTTTAGTATTTGCCATCAATGAGTTCAAATAAAATAAAGCATGTATTATATAACATACCTAAGAAAGGTTTCTCCTCCTCAACTTTTGGAGATAGTCCACCAGCAATGAGTCTGTCCACTTCCCGTGCTTCAGCTAATGCCTCCTCATATCTATTGCAGACTACTGCATTTAGGACTGGATTCACCTGCGTTAATACACTTTAAAAATCAATAATTGTTTGAAAATGGAATGTATTCAGTATGATTAATGATTATTGATAATCGACTGCGTGATCCCAGTATAGAATAGGCCACCCCTTCCTTTCCTCTGGGTTTCGTAAAAGGCTACTAATGGAATTGAATGGTCAAAGGATAGACATCGGCATCCCTGTTAAAACATCACCAAATGCTAACTACGGTTGCTAACCCGCCTGCCAGGGGGGAAAGGGATTGTTACTAATGGAGACTGAGAATCCCATTGCTAGCAATATACCCAACCAGGTCGACCTTCTCGCGGTTCCCCCTGGAAACTATCATGGTTAATTCCTGATGAATTCATCATGATGGGCTAACTGGCCTGTTTTCATTCTCATCTATCACCCTTTACTGGTGCCCCGACAGCGTATCCTGTTAGCGCAGGCGGAGTCACCATACCATTTTCACCCATCAAAAAAAAAAAAAACCGCCAGTGTTCAGCAGTGAACGATTAAAAACTGATATAATGATGATAACGACTGTGGTAGGGGGGAAAGGGATTGTTAGTAATGAGGTCCAAAAGCACCATTGCTAGCAATACCCTCTCGGGTCGACCTCCACGTGGTTCCCCCTGGAAACCATCATGGTTAATTCTTGTCAAATTTCATCATGGTGGGCTAATTGGCCTGCTTTCATCGTCACCTATCATCCCTCACTGGTGCCCCGACAGCGTATACCGATAACGCAGACGGGGTTACCATCCCATTTTTACCCATTAAAAAAAATTACTGTGATATCGTTCCTTTTCTTCTTAACGAATACTTTGGTACATCTGGCCAATATCTCTTACCTCTTTAATCCTTTCAATAACTGCTCGAACCAATTCCTCCGATTTCAACTCTTTATTTTTTATCTTTCTTGCCAACGTACAAGCACTATCCGCCAAATACGCATATTTCTTCTGCAAATCCGGTATAGGTTTCTTCTTTCCCTCCCAATAGAGGGAGAAGAAAAAGTCAATGACATAGTCTATAAACAAACGGACGTACGAAAAAATTGCTCTTAAAACTTTACACATTTTTAACTGCTACTTTTGATGTTAGCCTGAAATAGAAAATATTTTTTTGTATTATTTTTGGTACCTAATTTAGAAACATAGCAGCTTACATATCTTTACAGAGGAATAACACCTGAGTCCTCAGGAATGGCAACGCATGGATGGTATCGTGGGCGAAACAGAATACTCTGCTCATGTCTATAGGCGACGGTTACCACTTTCCATCAGGTGGGCCGTCAGCTTGTTTACCATTCTAAGTTGTATAAAAAAAGTTACTTTTTTAATATTTTTTGGAATAACAAACAAACTAACAACAAATAGGATGAAAAGACTGTCTATTATGGTGTCTAATGACCCTATTGCTAAAAATATACCATGTCAGATCGACCTCCACGCGGTCTCACTGAAAACCATCGTGATTAATTCCTGGGGAGTTTTTGGCGATGGGCTAACTCATCTGATTCGATCTTTCCTTATCACTCATTTCATCGAAAATTCTTATACCTGCAGAAATCAGCAGCGGAATCTTAAACTATAGGTATATCTTGTTATATGAAGCAAAATACAAGACTTTTTATTTATGAAAAGTGCGTATAAATATACGCAGATGTTAAGAATACCATTTTGATTGGCATGTTTAGCCTATACGGCATACAAAAATATGCAAATATACAGACAGTTCAAAATTATATATACAAATTCATTTCACATAATTATAAATTGTTATTATAATAATTTATATACCGTAAAGTCGTATGACTTTGGCCCAATTTCAGTTACATTTTTCTTAAGTTCTTCAAAAGGGGGGTAAAGAGGTTTCTTCAGGGTCGGCAACGCGCGCGTTTGGTATTGCAGGCGTTCATAGGCTACGGTAACCGCTTACCATCAGGTGGGCCGTATGCTTGTTTGCCACCTCAGTGGTATAAAAAAAAATTAGTTTCAAATTTTAAAACATTTTTACTAATATGTTTATTTAATTGAATTCACTAGGGATATAAGGAAGCTGTACATACAAAAAAAGCTTAATTATTTAAATATGTTATTATTATTTATTTATTTTTTTGACAAACTTTGGGCTAAAGTCTCACTTAGACCTGGATTTTTTTTTAATGGGTAATAATGAAATGGTAACACCACCCGCGCTATTGGTATACACCGGCGGGGCACCAGTGAAGGATGGTAGGTGAGGATGAAGCGGGTTAGTTAGCCCATCGTGACGAATTCAACAAGAATTGTTCACGATGGTTTCCAGGGGGAACCGCGTGGAGGTCGACCTAACAGGGCATATTGCCAGCAATGAGGCTATCAAACTCCATTACTAACAATCCCTTTCCCCCCAAACTTAGACCTGGGTCGCTTTGTCGCTCTCTTTTTTTGATGCCTAAAATGTATGCTTCTTTAACATCGGGCTAAAGTAAATAATCCACAAATGTTTCTATTGGTAAGAAAAACAATTTTTCATCAAATAAATCAACTTGTCTTTATTAAGTTATTAGAATTTTCTTCTATCAATTGATCTCCACACGTACTTTTCTACTTTTACTACTAATTAAATTTCCTACTTTTGAAATCCACACATACGAAGTCGGAGGCATGAACTATTACTAGATATAAAAAAATATTTACTGTATGCAATTAAACGTTGCATATCACTTTATGGCGAAATCATAGTACAACAATTAGTAACTCATACGAGTATGCTGCGAAACATCGACTGTTTTTACCCGACACGGTAAACCAAAAAGAAGGGTTATGATTTTGATAATACATACATACTAATTAACATTGAATCGAAAATACTATAATATTTACTAGTAAAATAATATTTACTAGTCAAATATGTTTTGAAATAAAATAAATCATTTAATTTGTTAATTATTTAAGTATGTGTACATAGACACCTATTTGCTATTCGAGACATCGTCAAAGGTCAAGCCACACCATCACAACATGTTGTCCTTGCATATGACTTGTGGTTATTACGTAGTGGGTATATTCAATTTTGCATTTTAAATACTCCAGTAATAAAGTCGTATGCTTGATAATACCTACACTCACTTGTTTAATATAAGTACAAGTTTTTTTTTTCGATAAATAATTTGATGGAAAGCGATTATCTATCGTCTACATAGTGAAATAGAAACTAATAATTTAACACAGTTTGCCAACTGCTTCAACCGTGTTATGTGTACACTTGTTTGTGTCTCAATTTAGTTCATATCATTGTTTTTATATAAACAATTGTAACTTTAAAGAATCAATACAAACGATTCTGTGATACCATTGCCGAAATTTGTCTGTAAAATTACAATTTTAATTTAACAACTTAACATATTATGGAATGAATATTTATGATAATAAAGATTTAATTTCTTAAGATTTATTTTTGTAATAATTTCAAAAATAGAATTGTGAAATCTTTGGATAAAATCACAGGTCAAAGAAAAACAAAATAAAATTGAACCTCCTATATTAAATTGATAACTAGACTAAACCACAGATAATATTAGAATGGGATATATACCTTCTTATTTATAGAAACAAAAACCTTCTACAAACCTAACTACAAACCTATTTTAACTATTTCACGGTTTTGTCACTCTCAGTCAAATTAAGAATTTAGCACAAACAAAAGTTTTGTTTTTAAATCAAAACATCTATGTCTACAATTTTTTTTTAGTAACTGTCAGCTTTTTCTAAAAAAAAAATACGGGATTTAAAATGGCTAACAAAACGGTGAGGAAACTTCAACAATAGGCATATATTTCAGAATAATACTTTTTTCTATACTTCTGTCCATTATACCCTAAATAAGTGGTTATGCATTGCAATATTATTTAATTTCTATTATTGATAATTACAATTAAAATAATTTATTTTTTAATAATTTATTCTTTATTAACTCACTTACCGAACAGTATTCAATTAGTTATTTATTAATATCATCCACATCACTTGTAAAGTTAATTATAAATTAATTCAAACAATATCACGCAGAATTCGAATAAATATGACGAACGAATAATGTTACAAGCTGGAGTAAATAAATCTACAGACGCGAGAAACGCGTGCGCGAGCGAAAGTTCGTACTATAATACTCTGCAAGCGATTCAAGTTTTAACTATTCATAGTTACATATTTCCTGCATTGCCTTCTTGTAATTGCATAAGCTAAGTAGGTATGTGCATATGTTGTGTATAAATTGCGGTTTTAGGTTCATCAACCGTGCTAGTCACAGAGTGAAGCAATCTATTTTATTTTACCTTCACGAGTTATCTATATCTATATATATATATATATATATAAAGCTTAGATTTAAATATAAAATTAAATCGTTAATCCCGCTAAAATTCAAAAACAACTTTACTGATTTTTTTTTTTTTTGTAATACGTGCGTAGTTTAAAAGAAAGAACGGTCATAAAAACCTTAAAGTTCAGCTAAACATTTGAAAAATTTAAATAGGTAATTTTGTATATATATTTTTAATAAATGGCGTTGTATGTGTGTGTATACGAAATGTACCGGATCAGCTAGTAAATAAATAAATATTACTAGACATAATGTACATAATATGACTTCTAATCTCAAACTAAGTAAAGCCTTTATTATGGATACTTGACGACTAATAGACATACTACAAAACTATTTTTTTAAATCATTATCATCATATCATATCAGCCTTTAACTGTCCACTGCTGGACATAAGCCGGGAAAGCTTATGTTGTTTTAAAAGGAACGCTGTTGCCCATTCCTCGCCCTCCTTAAGTTGCCTCTTACGGCGCCCATAGGTAAGGAAAGGGTGGCCTATTCTGTGCCGAGACTTCTTTCAGCAGGGTTTCTTTAAATACTTACTAATAATAAAACAAAGAAACAAACGGACGTACTCATGAATTACAAATGTATATATATTTTGCGGAAATCAAACACACGTCCATCAGAAATTGAAACAAGTGTGTTAACAGTTACGCTACCAAATAAAAATTCAGAATTATAAAATAATTTTCATAATTTACCCTTTATTCCTAAAAACTAAAACATCGACAACCAATTTTAAATATTACACTGTTTTCTCTCTTTCTTTCAAATTGAGAATTTAGCACAAAAGAAAGGGACAAAACAGTTCAACAGTTAAAATAAGTTTATGAGAATTTAACGTTTATATAAATAAAGAGCTTAATGTTTAATCCTTACTAATATTATAAATGTGGAAGTGAGTTTGTTTGTTTGTTACCTCTTAGCGTCTTAACCACTGCACCAATCACTGTGAAATTTAGTATACATAATGCTATATGAGATGTAAAAGAATATACGCTACATTTCATCTTCAATCAATGAGGGTCCAATTCTGAGCTACCATTTCTCTACACTTGCCTCTTAACCTAACATTTAAGGAAATAGAAAATTTAAATGTCTTTATGAAAAAAAGCGAAAGAATATTTGAAAGTCAAATGTTATGATACATTACATGACTATTATAATGATAAATATAAGACATACAATATCGTTTATTAATTGGCTCTATGAATGTGACATTATTTTTATTATTATAAATTATTCATTAACATATCAGCTTTTAACCGTCCACTACTGAATATAAGCCTCCCCTTTAAGGGTATTGGCAACTGCAGTTAGACTTTTAAGAGGAACTCACTGCCCGCAACTTTTGCATGATCGACGCATGTTCATTAACCGGAATAAGCCCATGTCGACAAAAAAACTCATTTTTTAATTATAATATTATTAAAGACTAAGAAAAATAATAAACATTTAAGAGGATATTATTTTAAATGGATAAAATGATATGTAGTATGATGGCTTTCTAATAGCTGGATACGTTAGAGTTAAACCAAAGTACCTAAAAAATCTTCAGATTTTGGACTCATTATTATTAATAATAATATGAAGATCTTATCGACTTTGAAATGTATAGTATCTATTTATATTAGGTAAAAGCCTAATAAAAGTAGTAGAAATCGTATATTCACAGAACACCTAATGGTACACATAGTCTCTTTAATCTGTGATGGTACTGTCCAGAGAACGTCAAACATGGCTGTATGAATATTGATCGTTGCCTTCTACACTACATATCTAAAAAAACTGCAGCTTCTAAACTTTGTCTCAAAGTTCATCGAACTTTGTAATTTTTATATAATTTTATGAGTTTTACATCGTTTTTTATTATTTGTTTAGCGGTTTTGGTTGCTAGAATTTATCTATATGTTTAAATATCAGTGAGTGTAGCAAACTTAAAGTGTGAAGTAACTTAAGTTAAACTACAGTACTAAGTTAAACTACAGTACTTGCGTAAGTAAATTTCTGTGCATTCAAATCAATTTATTATGGAGAAACATAAATAAACTGTTGCCTGTGCTTTATATTGTCATAACTTCATACAAATTCTCGTTTTGGATTGCAAATCATCATCAGCATTCCTACTTGCCGGTATATCTGCTTTCATATCGACCATTTTTATTTCCAGTTTACGTAAAGGAAATACACATGTGTACAAATACTGTCAAACGGGAAACATCTCAGGCAAGTCTATTATGTTTTTAAACAACACCTTGTCTTTTCCCATTTATTTGGGTTCGGCGCAGAATGTTTTCTTCCACATATCAACTGAAATTTCTGGGCTCACTCCTCCTTTATGCATGTCATCTTTCACACAGTTCATCCACCTTTCCTTCGATCGGTCCCTTCCTTTACATCCATCTGCTTTCATACTTAACACTTTCTTTAAAACATAACTTTCATTCTTTTAACAAGTAACCACTTAATTACAATCTGTATCATATCAGCCTTTAACTGTCCTTTGCTGAACTTAAGCCTTCCCCTTGGGGGGTTTTGCCAGTAGTTGCCATACTTTGCAGGCAAATTAGCAACTGCAGTTAGGCTTTGGAGATGTTTTAAGTGGGACGCTGCTACCCGTCCATTGCCCTTCCTTACGACACCCACAGGAAAAGAAGGGAAGAACAACAAAATCTTAAATGCAACCTTAACCATCATCATTCTCTGCTGAAAAAGCCAGGTCTCTTTTTTAAAGCATGAAAATGGAATAATAGTATTGTATAGTAGATATGGGTAACAGTAGTATATTGCACAATTGCACCAACTTACTTCACTGTGCTGATTATGTACAACTTACTTCATCAAAATGAGTTGGTGCACAATACAGTACCTGGAAATTGTTGGGTGTTTGATGAGATTTTAATTCGGTCCTGCAAAAATTTCTATTCTAGATTACAGATAGCATAAATAGTAGATACTTATATTACTTAATACATTATTTAATACAATACATAATTAGTATTATAATTTCCAGTGACTATCCCCAGCTTTGTATGGATGCAATGTAGAGATAATCTGAGGGCCTACCATGAAGTGTTTTCCAAAATTTTAAGCCAAATGAAACACAAATTTGATGTTAAAATTACATAATACATGCCGTTTGGAAATATTAAAAATGTTAAAATATTGTTCCTTTAGAATTTTATGATAGGATTTATGATAAATGAAATGTTAAATTCCATTTATTGATCCGATTTTGGTATAAACAAAAACATGAAATTGAGTCTAAAATTTCGGAATTTCATTTCATGGTAGACCCGCTGGTGTCACTCTGAAGTGATTAATTAGTACTATTGTATCTATCTAAATAGCTTTTCAAGGATGGAATGGATTGTAGTAATGGAAAGGTTAGTTCTCATTGCTATGAATATACCCTATCAAGTCGACCTCCACTGGGTCCTAGAAACCATATTAATTAATTCTTTATGAATTTGTCACTATAGGTCACTAACTAATTTGCAGGTAACTAATTTGCATTGTCACCTATCATCCCTCACTGATGCCCCGCCAGTGTATACTGATATAGCAGGTGGAGTTACCATTCTATTATCATTCATTGAAAATAGTAGCTTTACAAAACTAAACATAATTTGTATATTGATTTTTAAACATTAAAATTATTAAATTAATGAGGGCATTGTAATGCCATCACTGACTTTTTTGTAATTCTAATAAAGAAGAAAAATTCTATCGTAAGTTATTTTGTTATATTTTAGCATTTTCAATGATAGCTCTCAGTCAACTTTATTTCTTCCGCCATCTTGAACAATTGTCGTTATATTTCAACAAATGCACACAAAACAATATTAAACTATATATATAATTCCTCCTCTTGAATCACTCTATATATTGATGAAAACTGCATTGAAATCTGTTGTGTAATTTGAAAGGTTTGATCGTACAGACGGCGGAAAACGACTTTGTCTTATACTCTGTACAAATATAATTATACATATATTTTCTCTGAATTAATATTCACAACATAATATTTCAAATTCTGTTTCTCTTTTTCCCTACTGGGCAATTAGCTCAAGCCACATTGCCTTTAAAGATTCTATCTTCTTTCATGACTTGCATATTTATTTAACGCTATTTATGCAAATGCCTAAATGCCAACAAATGATTGATATAAAAATTCCGTAATTATTTATATTGATAACATTATTGCCCATATCATATTCTGATTTCCTATCTTTTAGGTAAATGACAAATGGTAGGTAATGAACACATACAAATGATATTTCTTCTGTGAAAGGTGGTTATAAGTGAAAACTTTCAATAAAAGAATATTTTTACAAATTTATCTTGAGAGTCCATATTACATAAATACAAATTATTACTAGATCTGTTACTTGACAAACATAAGATATATTTAAAAAAAAAAATATGTGGGGCCTTAGTAGTCCACTAGAGAGCAAACCAATATTTAAAAAAAAAAGATGTCTTTCTGACTATATATATAGTCGTAATCACACAAAAACTGCTGCTCCAAATTGGATGCGGTTTTCACAGTTGTGATCCTGAGAGTCTAACTTAAAAACTAGTGTGTTTTATCTTGATTTATTTATGCTATTTAGAACTGCTCGAATTCATTGATTTGTTTTCCTACTTTGGAAATCTAGGAAAGCAGGTAAAAAGCTAGTAGGCTGCAGAGTTTAAAAAATATTTATCCTCCAAAAGAGTTAAGTATGTCAGAGCCATCTTTTGCCGAGTTGATTGTTTCCCTATTAGACACTAGATGACGTTAAAATAAAAATTGTCTATACCCTTTGGTGCATATCAAGTAAAACATATCAAAATAAATATATATTTATTTCGATATGTTTTACTATAAATATAATACTATATACTTTATATACTAGCTGACTCGGCAAACGTTGTTTTAACATATACATTATTTCGAGAACTATACATGAAAATTGCAAGCCTATTGCGGCATATAAAAATCGCAATTAAAAAACAGGGGTTGACCGTAAAAGCGTGAAAATTTGAATTTGTATGTATTTTTCAATGATAAATCCTAATAAATAAAAATAAAAAAAACGTTAAAAAATAAAAAAATTAGGGGTGGATCACCCTTATCATTGAGGGGTATGAAAAATAGATGTTAGCAAATTCTCAGACCTACCCGATATGCACACAAAATTTCATAAAAATCGGTAAATCGGTTTCGAAGGAGTTTGGTAACAAACACCGTGACACGAGAATTTTATATATAAGATATATATATATATATATATATATATATATATATGTATTTTTTAAATATCTCCATCAATACGTACAGACATCGTCTGGATACGTTTTTATTATATGTATTCAGATGTTTATATATATAGTATGAAGTGACGTAGGTATTATATGTTTTACAATAGCCAGTCTGTCTAAATCACATAACGAAGCGCCCGCGGTATCGATAAGTGAATTTCGTAATATTTTTCATTACAATTATATAATTGACCATTTTTACTACATTAATTACATTTATTATGTACATTTCTGGTGAGTATTTTCAAGCAACTTCAAAGAGTTGGTTATAAATTCGGTTGCATATTTTTTTTTTTACATTTATTACCTTATATTTATAACAGACTTCAAAAAGGAGGTTCTAAAGTCGATTCCATTTTTTTTTTATGTTTTTCATCTCATAACTCCCGTTTTGAGTTTTTTTTTTTTTTATTTGAATAGATATATTTACAAATTGGTCTCGTACTAATTTTATCAAAACCGGTTTAGCAGTTTAGTTCTAAAGTTAAAATAACTGGTTTAGCTACAATTGAACTGTTTTTAATTACATACATCTGTGGTATATTTAAATTAACAATACTGGCGTCATTCTTATTTCGGTTTTTAGACAACTTTAGTGCTTGTAAATGGCAGTGGGTTTTATTTACATTTTTTATTATAACTTGAATTTGAATAAATAGTGTTAAATTTTTAGTAACATTTAAAAATATATTTTTTAAAAGAGTCGCCAATTCTGAAGCGATTTTAATGGTTCTTTTTGCACGCGCTCGTATTTGCCACTTTGTATTAGTGTCATATTAATTTTATAACAAATGAATCTGCGGTTTTTCTTTACAGAAAAAAAAAAAACTTGTAAACACTCCACTTCGTTTTTTAATTCATGTTTAGCAATAAAACATCGTAGCAAATCAATCTTAAAAATAAGTAAATAAAAAAATTATACATTCAAGTGCTCACATTGTAATTGGCATTCAAAACGTATAATATTAAGCTTACAATTAAACAAGGTATATTACTAGCAATGGGGCCTCTTGTCCCCTTAACAAATAATTCCCCTGTCCAATGCCAGTTATTTATGCTACTAGTTACATACCACTGCTTTACCTTCTTTTAAACTTATCACAGGTACACCGCAACCGTAAGGCCAACAAAATATTCCAAGGCATGGCGTCCGCAGTACTTATCCAGGCGTTCTTCGCCTTCCGAAGATGCCTCGACATGTTCGTTGACTTCATATTCGGACTGTATTGGGAGAGCAAACGGCAGCCCATCCCTGATCTCCTGCCGCGGCACAGGATGCTCACCGAGAGCGCTGTGACCTTGGCAACGAGGATACGTAATAAGGAGCTAACTTCGGAAGAACTGGTTCAAGCTTGCATCGAAAGAATTAAATTGGTATGTTTCAGTTACTGTATTAATAGCTGCTTCCCGTGGCTTTTTTTTTAATGGGGGATAATGCAATGGTAACCCCACCCGCGCTAACGGTATACACCGGCGGGGCACCAGTGAAAGATGATAGGTGAAGATGAAGCAGGTCAGTTAGCCCATCGTGACGAATTCAACAAGAATTGTTCACGATGGTTTCCAGGGGGAACCTTGTGGAGGTCGACCTAACAGGGCAAATTGCTAACAATGGGGCTGTCAAACTCCTTTGCAAACAATCCCTTTCCCCCTGTTTCTTGTGGATTCGTCGGCTAAATTAATATGCTATCAAGTATCCTATGTATTAAGTTAGCATAGAACCTATCCGTGTAGCGAACTTCATTCAAATCTCTTCATCCATTTAAGCATGATTGAGTAACAAACATGGATGTATGTTTGTTAGACCCGGATGATCCAATAAATTTGGCTAACGCTCCTCCCCCTGCCGTAGAACCTACGGAGGTTCACACACGCAATGTGTGTGCGTGCGAAGAGTTCACAACTCACACATACACGCGCATACCTACACGCACATAATTGACATGGTTCCCGTTGGCGGAAACGAAGATTCCCATCACAACTCAATTCTGAATTTGACAATAGACATACGGCCGATATGGGCGATATCGAAATGGGCTTTTTTTTTTTATACAACTTAGAATGGCAAACAAGCTGACGGCCCACCTGATGGAAAGTGGTAACCGTCGCCTATAGACATGAGCAGTACCATGGACATAACAGAGTATACAGTTTCGCCCATGATACCTCCCATGCGTTGCCATTCCTGAGGACTCTGGTGTTATTCCACTGTACCCAGTAAATTCACGCCATATCCCACCCTTCAAACCGAAACACAGCCATGCAAACACAACTGCTTTACGGTTGAAACACGAATAGGACAGAGGTACCTGATGACCTTTTTCCCCCATACCGATCCGATATCTATATATTATGTTCAGAAGAACCCGATATATAGATATCAAATCGATATCCATATTACCCATGCCTATCATACCAATCGCCTGCTCCTCAAGCTAAGATATCCTGTATTATGAGGAACCGGACCACGAACATTTATGGGCACCAATCACAACACCCAGATCCAAGACAATTCAGGGATTCAGGTAAGTTCGTTTCTTAGGAAATTGACCCAACCGGGTTCGAACCTGGAACCACGTTTACGCAAAGCATCTACTCCACCCCCGCGCAACCATTTAAGTGTGTACACACTGCAAAAACAAAAATTTTTTTTCAACCACTGAATAATTGAATTCAAATATGATTATCATATTTTAATAATATTTAACGAAATTTGCAATTCATAAATTGCCAAATATTTACTCGTAAATAAATGTATATATATGTTGCAGTTAAAACCAGTTTTTAGTAATAACACCTTTAGTTTTTACTAAATCACTATGGCGTAACTAGAATTTCTTAGTTAAAACTATAGAATTTTGATGATTTGTCGTGTAGGTTCCGGCATAGAATAGGCCACCCCATCCTTCCCCATGGGTGTCAAAAAAGCGACTAATGGAACTTAAAGGTCGAGGGATAGGCAGCAGCGTCCCTCTTAACATATCACCAAAGCCTAACTGCATTTACCAACACCCCTGCCAAAAGTGACAACTTTTGGTAAACCCTCTTTTATGAGAGAGGCTTGTGTTCAACAGTGGTCATTTAACAGCTGATATGATGATGCTAAATTTGGAAGATTAATTAAAACTATTATTAGTAAAAAAAAATAGTGTAAATTGAGCCCTATTTTTATTTTTTATCTATTTTTTTTTATACAACTTAGAATGGCAAACAAGCTGACGGCCCACCTGATGGAAAGTGGTAACCGTCGCGTATAGACATGAGCAGTAGCATGGACATAACAGAGTATACTGTTTCGCCCATGATACCCTCCATGCGTTGCAATTCCCGAGAACTCAGGTGTTATTCCTCCGTACCCAGTAAATTCACGCCATATCCCACCCTTCAAACCGAAACACAGCTATGCAAACACAACTGTTTCACGGTTGAAACACGAATGGTACAGAGGTACCCAAGCAATCGACTTTTGTACAAAATCTCCCTCGGTTTATAACTGACGGAGTTATGAGGTAACAAACGTAGAAAAATACAATCTAATTGAACACCTCTATTTGGAAGTTGGTTGAAAACTAATTCAAACTAGAGAAATAGCGTTATAATTAAAAACGAGTTTTTAACTTTAACATATATATTTATTTCAGGTGAATCCCATTTTAAATGCAGTCACGGACGAACGGTTTGAAGACGCGTTGAAAGAAGCCCGGGATATAGACAAGAAGATCGCTGAGGGGTTGCCCAAAGAGTACTTCGACAAGAGGCCCTTCCTTGGTATGTAGTTCCGCCAGCGTGCATGTTACCAGTGAGAGACTGTAAAAGAGTCGTCTGCTTGAGTAACTCTGTCCCATTCATGTTTCTGCCGTGTAGAAGTTGTGTTTGCATGGCTGTGTTTCGATTTGGAGGGTGGGATATGGCAGTGAGTTTACAGTTACAATTCCACTAGAATTAATCACGACGGTTTCCAGGGGAAAACGCGTGGAGGTCGACCAGATAGGGTGTATTGCTAAGAATGAGTCAATTAGACTCCATTACTAACAATCCCTTTCTCCCCTATCTGCAGGTGTGCCGTTCACAACAAAGGAGAGCAACGCGATATCCGGAATGCTGAACACGCTGGGGATCCTGTCGCGGCGGCACACGCGGGCTGAAAACGACGCAGAGTCCGTGCGGCTGATGCGTGCCGCCGGGGCCATACCGGTCGCCGTCACCAACGTGCCCGAGATCAACAAGTGGTGAGTACGCCTTTAATTTGATGACCTCCTTAGCGCAGTGATGGGTACGTCAGGTTTGCGTAATATAAAAGGTTCGATTCCCATTCGGGTTAATATAGGAATGTTTTTTTCGAATTACCTCAGTGTTCTGGATTTTTTTTTATTAGTGAAAATGGAATGGTGACCCCGTCAATGCTAACGGTATACCTCATAACCCCATCGATTGGGAGGAAGGGATTGCTAGTAATGCAGGCTACCAGTCCTATTGGTAGTAATATACCCTGTCAGGTCGACCTCCACGCGGTTCTCCCTGGTACCATCGTGCTGAATTCCAAGTGTATTTATCACGATGGGCTGACTGACCTGCTTCTTTTTCATTATCCACCTATCGTCTCTCACTGGTGCCCCGCCAACGTATACCGTTAGCGTAGGCGAGGTTACCATTCCATTATCATCCATTAAATCCCCCACCATCGATCCTACACCGATTTGGAAAATTGAATATGATCCAAACATTTCTGAATACCTTAAGTCATTTTTTTTTTTTAATAATATTTTAAGGGCTTTTACCTTCTTCAGGTATATCAGTCCTATTGTACCCTGAACTGATTTCTCAAAAAAGTCTAAATTTAAATTTTACAGAGCCTCAGTACCCATTGTCTTATCTTCTAGAAATCTGTTTTATGTGCCTGTCCACTACACTGACTTTGATATTGGATCTGTTCCAACCAAAGTAGCATTCAATCATAGACAACGATCTTTTTATTTAGAATCCATAGAACTGTAATATGTCGTCTGACGCTGATATTTCCTTGCATCTGAGTAGTTTTTCGTCTGTTACTATTATTATATAATATAGAGAAGTGAAAAAGGTTTGTTTCGATCGAAGCATTTGGCTTTCCATTGTTTCTGCCTACCCTAATGGGAGACAGGCGTGACAGATATGTATGTGTATAATGTGAGTATTATATGTATATATATATATTGTTCATCACGTTGAACCGTCCGTTATATTTCCTGTTATTCCTGTCCACGGTCGACTGGTAGATAACGCCATATGGTGTTAAGACCGCCATTTACAGTATCTATATATATATATATATATATATATATATATATATATATATATAATTTTGTACAAATGGCGAGCTTATTGCCATATGGCATTCTCTACCAGCTAACCATTGGGTAAGATGTGGTGAAAAATATGTGATAATTAATTATACATAGTAACACATTAAGACAATACACAATATAAATATAATATACACATAAAAATGCACATATAATACATAAACATTACTTTTAACATATATGGATAAACTAATACATATGAAATATATATATATATATATATATATATATATATATATATATATATATATATATATACATACATAAATTAAAACAACGATAAGCATTATGAGATATAATAACTATTGAGACTAGATATATTAAAGTTTAAACAAATACGTCAGTGTTACCCATATCTGTGTGCGTACGTGAGTGGTGCCTGGTGGGTTGCAGGCAGGAGTGCCGGAACATGCTGTTCGGCACGACATGCAACCCGTACCACTCCGGCCGCACCACGGGCGGCTCCAGCGGCGGCGAGGGCGCCCTCTGTGCAGCCTTCGCCACGCCTATCTCGCTCTGTAAGTCGCTGCTCAAGTCGCCTGTCATCTTTGTTGATTTACACTAAGAAGGTGACAAATAAGCATACAGTTCGTCTAATGGTAAACGGTCACTGTAGCCTATGGATGCTAGCAATGTTAGTCACGAACTTTTTTATTCTAGCCGTTTGGCTTCACCAGAGGGAGACTTTGTACAAAAATCGATTGCTCTGGTACCTCTATCTCATTCGTGTTTCAACCGTGAAGCAGCTGTGTTTGCATGGCTGTGTTTCGGTTTGAAGGGTGGAATATGGCGTGAATTTACTGGATACAGAGGAATAACACCTGAGTCCTCAGGAATGGCAACGCATGGGGGGTATCATGAGCGAAACAGTATACTCTGTTATGTCCATGGTACTGCTCATGTCTATAGGCGACGGTTGCCACTTTACATCAGGTGGGCCGTCAGCTTGTTTGCCATTCTAAGTTGTTTAAAAAAAAACACAATTTGTAAAAGTGGCCTATCTTTAGCCAAGATTTTCTTCAGGGTTTACTCTTTACTTCAATCACAGTTAATTAAGAATCAATTTTATCAAATTTGATTTTGTTTCCGAAATCTTTAATTTATAAAACTTCTTTTTTAAAGGTTCCGACATCGGCGGTTCAACACGCATGCCCGCTTTCTTTTGTGGACTGTTCGCACTCAATCCCACTGCTGGGCATACCAGTCTGAAAGGTAAATCGATTGGCATAATGTATATCTGCTTTTATACACATTATTTTAGAACTTCGATATCACTGTCACAATACATCATTAGTACTTTTTTTTTTTTAATTGAGAAAGACTAAAAATTAACAAAAAATAAAAAAGTGTTGTTTACTTCGTGATTGTTTACTTCCTTGTGACGTCACTGACGCGATATTGCTCAAAAGTTGCTTATTTAAACTGTACTTTATTATTTGCTTTTATGAATTGCTATTTTTTGACTACTTGCTACTAAATAAAAAAATTGCATCTAATTGCCACATCTACGCTATTTATATATATGCGCCGTAGGTGAGAATGGAAACAGGTAATTAATTAATCAGATAAGCTCATCATGACTAATTCACCAGGAATTAATCACTCTGGTTTCCAGAAAAGACCGTATCGAGATCGACCCAACATATATAGTATATTGCTAGCAATGGGGCCACTAGTCCCCACTACAATCCCTTCCTTTCGGCATTAATACATGTCTGTGTGACCAGGCCTGGCGCTGCGGTCCGGGCTGGAGCCGTCGATGGCGGCGGTGGGGTTCGTGAGCCGCCACTGCAGCGACCTGGCGCCGCTGACCGCCGTCGTGGCTGGTGATCAAGCGCCACTTTTGAATCTTCACGCGCACGTCGACCTTAACGTGAGCATTACAGCCTGTATATAGATTTATTTGAACCATGTGTGAAGTCTCTGCTGTTCACCTTTACCTGCTTACAGAAGCAGGATTTCTTGTGATTTTGTTTTTTCCTTTCTGATTTTGATTGTTAACATTTGGAGAGGATTTAAAAAAAAAAAAAATTTTAAAAAATATACCAAAAAATTGGGAAACTGAGAATTTTTAAGAAAATAAAGGAGAATAAAATTAAATTATAATTAATTAATAATATGTACTAGTAATTAATGCTCTTTCCGCTCTGAGTTTGTTGAAAGAAAATTTTTACACAGTAAACTTCACCTATTATATGTTATATATATATATATATATATATATATTCCAAATAATTTATATTATAAATTATTTATATAATATTGTGTACAATAAAGTATAAATAAAAAATTAAGAAAATAAGAAATTATGTTGCGTTGATTGGACATTACGGACATACGTACCTACTCCTTATTTCTAAGATATCGTAAAAATGAACTAAGAACCTAATTCAACATTTCAAGAGAAATAAACTGCTCATGTCTATGGGCGGCGGTTGCCGCTTTCCATCGGGTGGGCCGTCAGCTTGTTTGCCGTTCTAAGTAGTATAAAAAAAAAATTAAATTCTTAATTTTCGAAATAAATTTCGTGTTTTTGTTCATACCGTAATCGAATTAGCTTAATATTTTGTTCGTCATAAATCCTACTATAAAAGTATGTAATTTAAGTATTAAATTTTTGTTTCTTTTTACCCTGAAGTTTTGGAAACATTTCATGGTAGGCCCTCTGGCCACCAGGATTGCGTGATAGTAGTAACATAAAGTTATAGATAGGGGCTCGAGCCACATTTTTCTAATTTTTTTTTTTTACCTTTCAGACAATAAATTACTATTATGTGGAAACGGCTGGAGATCTACGAGTGAGTCCCATAAGCTCTGAACTGCGACAGGCCATGAACAAGTTAGTATAACTTCATATCAGCCTTTAGCTGTCCACTTCTGAACATAAGCCTCCCCCTTGGGGGGTTTTGCCAGTAGTTACCATACTTGGTAGGCGGGTTGGCAACCGCAGTCAGGCTTTAGAGATGTATTAAGAGGGACGCTGCTGCCCATCCCTCGCCATTCTTTAGTCGCTTCATCGACACACACAGAAAAGGAAGGGGTAGCCTATTCTATGTCTGAACCCCATAGCTATGACTTACTATAAGTTATATTCTGCACATCATTGCGTAAGCTAACACCTCATGGTCAGGTCGACCTCCACGTGGTTCCCCCTGGAAACCATCGTGCTGAATTCCTGGTGTCTTCTTCACGATAGGCTAACTGACCTACTTCATCCTCACATATCTCTCACTGGTGCTCCGCTAGTGTATACCGATAGCACAGACAGGGTTACCATTGCATTATCACTCTATAAAAAAAAATTAGGACAAATTCATAATAAATTAACCAGAGTGATTTCCAGAGAGAACCTCGTGGAGATAGACCTGATTGCTACATTAGGGTAGCTTTTTTTCTTTGCCGATTCTTGTTGCTTAAAAAATATATACAATATCACTACAGAGTGGTGGCTAAGCTGACGGAGCTAGCGCCATCTACCGACAAAGCGCCGAAGCCATACTACCACAAGGGGTTTAACTACATGTTCGCGCTATGGCGCTATTGGATGACAAAGGAAACGGACAAGTTCCCCAAAATGCTGGCAAACAACCGCGGGGAGGTCAAGGGATTGGTCGAGTTGCCCAAAAAGGTAATTGTTTTTGCTTCAGCTTAAAGAAAATGATACTACTGGACTATGACCGGTTATTTTTAATGGGTGATAATGGAATGGTAACCCCACCTGCGCTATCGGTATACACCGGCGGGGCACCAGTGAAGGATGATAAGTGAGGATGTATGATGGATTATCCCATCGTAACGAATTCGACAAGAATTGTTCACAATGGTTTCCATGGGGAACCACGTGGAGGTCGACCTGATAGGGCATATTGCTAGCAATGTCGAACTCCATTGCTAACAATCCGTTTTCCCCCGATCTATGACCGGTGCAGTATGTTACGCAATACCATATGATCCTAAACAAAGTTTTTTTTTAATACATGATAATAGAATGGTAAAAGGTGTATTGGAAGACAAAGAAAAAGGTGGGTTGACGAAATCATGGAAATGGCAGGAAAGAATTGGATGGACACAACAACAAGAATAAACAGACTTCAGTTGTGGCAAAACAATTTATTTTAATTTAAAAACTTAAAATACTGAAACGATTTTGATAACATTTCTATGGAATCAACCTGTAAATATATCCTTTCACATAAAATAAAAATCCAAATCGATTTACAACTGACGGAGTTATGAGGTAATAAATTAAAAAGAAAAAAGATACAATCAAATTGAGAACTTCCTGCTTTTTGAAGTCAAATGAAAATGTGGAAATTTGTACATTCTCACTTTCTCTATGTTCATTTATTTTATTTTATTTGTTCATAAACAAAAAGTTGTATTTGAATGTCATAGTAAATGTACCTACTATGACAAATACTATATAAAATGAATGCAGTACAAGAAAAATAAATGAAATTAAGTACAAAAACAAAAATGGAGGGAGACTTTGTACAAAAGTCGTTTGCTTGGATACCTCTGTCACATTCGTGTTTCAACCGTGAAGCAGTTGTGTTTGCATGGCTGTGTTTCGGTTTGAAGGGTGGAATATGGCGTGAATTTACTGGGTACAGAGGAATAACAACCGAATCCTCAGGAATGACAACGCATGGGGGGTATCATTGGCGAAAAAGTATACTCTGTTATGTCCATGGTACTGCTCATGTCTATAGGCGACGGTTACCACTTTCCATCAGGTGGGCCGTCAGCTTGTTTGTCATTCTAAGTTGTATAATATTATAAACAAAAATTATAACAATACACAATTTAAACAAACGTCGTACGTAGACGTCTCTTAACACAAACAACATATATACAAGTATTTAAATTTACGATATCTAAATGTTATGTACCCGCTTTCCGCTAGTTGCTGGGCATGTCTCAGTTCACGATGGCGGCCATTTTGAAGTTGTTGGACGAGCAAGTGATGCCCCAAGTGAACGCCGAGTGGGCCGAGCAGCTCACCAAGGAGTTCAGTGATGACATAATAGTGAGTAGTACCACGACATAAGTAATAGTACTATAGTAAACTATAGACACTCCCTACTATCTGTCCCATACATCACCCTGTCTCAAACACGAGGCAGCATCCAAACTCTATTTTTGCTTGTTAGTTTTTTTTTTAATGGGTAATAATGGTATGGTAACCCCGGCTGCGCTATCGGTATACACTGGCGGACCACCAGTGGGAGATGATAGATGAGGATGGAAGCAGGTCAGTTAGCCCATCCTTACAAATTCAACTAGAATTAACCAAGATGGTTTCCAGAAGAGAATCGCGTGGTGGTCATCCTGACGGGGTATATTGCTAGTAATGAAGCTATTTGACTTGTTAGATACTATACTAACTGTTACTGCCATTAACTGTCCACTGCTGAACATAGGCCTCCCCCATAAGGGGGGTTTCCCCAATAATTGCCACGTTTGGCAGGCGGATTGTCAACCGCAGTTAGGCTTTAGAGGTGTTTTAAGAGGGACGCTACTATCCATCCCTCATATTTATAATGGATTATAATTTTGTATATGAAGCAATATTAAGTCAAGTATCCACGGAGAATAGCTTTATAGACGATTCTATATGACGAATATGCATCTATGAAGCTACGTCTCCGTGCGCAGTAGGTGTCAGTGCTCTGTGTCCGCAGTCGCGGCTGGGCGAGCGCGGCGTGCTGCTGTTCCCGTCGGCGCCGGCGGCGGCGCCACACCACGCGACGCTGCTGCTGCGGCCTTTCAACTTCTCCTACTGGGGCGTCTTCAATGTGCTGCGCCTGCCCGCCGCACAGGTATGCACGCGCACAACATACACGCACGCACACACACACACGCGCACACACATGCGATCACGCACACGCACGCACGCATCACACGCATGCACGTACACGCACGCACACACACGCAAGCACGCACAATCACGCACGTACCACACGCACACACGCACGCATACAGACGCTCGCACACACACGCACGCACAAAGACGCACGCAGCCACACGCACGCACGCACGTACACGCACGCACACACACGCGCACTTGCACTCATAGAAAAACGTCAATATTACGTCCTCAATATTTTGCAAGAGACTAATTGACTCGTTGATAAATTGTATTTAGAATTTTTGCATAAAACATACTAGAAAAAAGTCATTAGTACATATTACATACATAACGTCACACACGTATTTACTCATGTACTTTTTTTTTATACAACTTAGAATGGCAAACAAGCTAACTGCCCACCTGATGGAAAGTGGTAACCATCGTCTCCTTTGTACCTTGTAAATTCACGCCATATCCCACTCTTCAAACCGAAACACAGCCATGCAAACACAACTGCTTCATGGTAGAAACACGAATGGGACAGAGGTACCCAAGCAATCGACTTTTGTACAAAGTCTCCCTCTAGAGAGTCTCCCTCCCCATAGAAGCACCGACGAACAATTACTATCGTTACGAGCCTTTGGTAAAGCGATAGCTCAACTGTTTCGGCCAATTCGAAATTTAAACATGTTATTTTTTATTTTTTTTAATAATACTTAAAATGGCCAATCAAACTGACGGCGCATCTAAAGCAGCTGTGTCGCCTATAACAGACATAAATATATATTTTTTTTTAAACTAAACCAACAATTTACAGGTACCCCTCGGCTTAAACAGCAAAGGTTTACCAATCGGCATACAAGTGGTGGCTGGACCCAGGCAGGACGCGTTATGTCTCGCTGTCGCCAAGTTGTTAGAGCGGGAGTTCGGCGGATACGTGCCGCCGTGCAAGATCTTGGAATAGTCGAATATATCAGCATTGTTATATTATATTAGGGCCTACGCACACGAACTTCATAATTTCCTATTACAATATTACTACGAACACGTGTGCCTTTTCAATATGTTTGTTTTCAAGTTTGAATAGTCCGAGAAGAAAGTTAATTTGTTATTAGGTGGATAATATTACTTAGGGAAATTTTTTAAAATAAAGCCACGTATATTAATACCTGTTCCTTCCTTACGGAGCCATTTTTAAATTATTTTTTTTATTGTAATATTCTAATAGTTTTTTGTTTACAATAATAATGTAAAGGAATTATCCAACCAGTCTGGAACAACATCTCAGACGGTTGGCATTCCGAGGCGGCTCACTCCCGGGAAAGATGCAGAAAGCGGTGCTCTTAGATTCTGCCCGCATTGTACGCCGGTTTCTCTCCCTGGGACCCTGAACCCCGGCCGACTGTGCTTCTGCCGGGGGTTAGTTGCCATCTCCTCAAGAGGGGAGATAAGAATTTTTGTAAAATGTAAAAGAATTAAATCTATGTTTCGGGTCGCATCTAATATAGGGCACTAGTTTTTGCTCGTGACTGGAAAAAAAAACATAAACAGGTTGGTAACAATTATATTAGTAAACGTATTCTGGCTATACAGTTAAAACTAGTGTTATGGGAGGTTTAAAGTAAAATATTGAGTAAGATAAGGAGCTATAATAGAAAAATGGTTTTAATACTCGTTTATAAATCTGTATGATGCAATTAAAGCCCTTAGAATCTTTTTAAGAATCTATTCTACCAGTGAAACAATATTTTTCCTAAATGGACCAGAGAGAATTTTTGACCTGCCCACCTGATGGAAAGTGGTAACCATCGCCTATAGACATCAGCAGTACCATGAACATAACAGAGTATACTGTTTCGCCCATGATACCCCCCATGCGTTGCCATTCCTGAGGACTCAGGTGTTATTCCTCTGTACCCTGTAAATTCACGCCATATCCCACCCTTCAAACCGAAACACAGCCATGTAAACATAACTGCTTTACGGTTGAAATACGAATGGGACAGAGGTACCCAAGCAAACGACTTGTACATAGTCTCCCTCTGGTGAATGATATATATGATGATGAGAACCTCCGACAATGATATAGTGGGGCTAGCTTTCAAGTTATTATGGACTAGTGACCCGCCCCGGCTTCGCACAGATGTAGAAATAATATGATGTCAGTGTGGACTGATTAACAATAGTACTATTGTATCCATTTAAATAACATTCCAAACTTCATATAATTTGTATATTTTTTTTAAACATAAGGTACTGTATAATATAGAATGCCATCGCTGTTTTTTTTTTTTTGTAGTCCTAACAAAGAGGAACAATTCTATCATGCCATTATTTTGCATGGGGGGTATCATGGGCGAAACAGTATAGTCTGTTGTCCATGGTACTGCTCATGTCTATAGGCGACGGTTACTACTTTCAACCAGGCGGAAAGCGACTGTTTTATACCATGAAGAGAAAACACTAATATATTTTATGTTTTCTACCGACGTGTTTTAGAAACATTTTTTAGTTTCATTCGTATGGCACAATACAAATCGTGTATGTATATATATATATACAAAAAATCAGCTTCAGTGACTGTTTTTTTTTTGTGAGGAAGTATTTGTATAAAACCAACTATTGACATAGTCAATATATTTTTTAAATTGTTATATTGTGAAAAATATTTTTTTAAAGTATATTATTATATGAAAAATAAATTGTTATGATGCAAAATTTGGACATTTTGCTACTTAATTATAGACTTCTAATTCTCATATCGAACATGTTATTTCCATTCCAATATGTTGTAAAATTTGCGGGTTAACTAAATAAGACTGTTTTATCTTGTGTTGTTTATATGTTAATGGCGTCGATTCAGAGTTGCCATTTTTCTAAATTTGTGTCTTAACATAATATTTTAATTTGCAAATTTCGCAAAATTACTGTTTTATGAACCTTTATAAACTAAAGTTAATAATTTTAACTTACACCTAGTTAGTACTTATAATAAAGATATTGCTGTGATATCAAATTTAAAGATAGATTTACAGAAATGGCGCCTCAGAATCGACCCTAATGTTATTATTATGTTATTTGTTACGGTGGAGGATAAATATATCAGATAATTTGTTTAGTAACTCAAATAAAGTTATTTTTATAGAAATAACACTTTTATTTCATTTTTCTGCTTTTATGCTAATATAACAGCAACTCTTAGCTGTTGTTCTTTGTACGCATTCCAACGCTGCATGCGATTGCGTGCTTGTCGTCTACTATCGGCACCGCCGGTTCGCACCTGTACTGCTCAGTTTGCTCCCACTTATCAGGCTATTTCTCTGCCCAATTCTCTGATTGCTAAGCAGCCAGATATTGATATATTTAATGACGAAATAGATATATTTTTAAAATGTTGTACAAAATTTGTAAGTTTGTAAAATAAACCTATGGCTCACTACACGTTTTGGGAGACTGTAAGTGTGGTGAGTAATTTTCAAATAAATAAATAAGGCCCTACGCTAGCGTTCAATAGGAATGGTAATATTGAGAATATATATATAGTTTGATTGCAATATCTATATATTGACCCAAAAACGTATGCTAAATATCTGTTATTGTCGTGATGCCATTAAATATTAGAATTTTAGTTATTAATTGTCATAGATTTTATATGTCAAACAACTACGTAAGATTTCCAGTTTATTAAAGCCTAAAATTCTGACGAATTATATTTTCATTCTTATTAATTACCTAATATGAATATTACAGTTATCCAATGTACAATATCGAAATGAAGAACCCGATTGAAATAAATATAGATATCCGACCTGTATGTAAAATTTCGAAATGGATTATGATCATTTTTTCGCCATCGATGCCGAAAGGAGCTCGATATATAGATGTCGAGATGATATCGATATGGCCCATGCCTAGTAGGAAATTTACTAGCAGGCTGGTGGCCAAGAAAGCAAATTTAAGGCACTTTTTTTTTATCATAAAGATACAATTTCATTGACAAAAAAAAATGTAATCAATTTTATTTTAGAGTGTGGCAACCATGCTTTTTGACAGAGAGATTTTTTTTTTTCATTTATTGTGACTTTGGCGAAAGCCATCAGCCAAAAAGTAACAATTACAAGGTAACAATATAAAATTACAAGACAAATTGCAAAAATTATTATAGTTATAAATTAATTATAATATACTAAGAAAGTAAGTTAAATAGAAAAGTATAAGTTACAATTACATATTTAAATTTCACCAATTGTTGAAGTAATATAATTAAAAATTTCTTGGTACTAAATGGTATGTTTTAGTAGATCCTGCACTGAAGTAGGAATATTTTGACATTTTAATAAATCTTGACATTGACAAATAAAAAGTAACCGTTGAAGTGAGAATTTAGAACAAACAAAAAAAATATGATCCAAATCAGAAAAAATGTTTTGGCAGTATTTACAGATAGAATTATCCAATAAATTAATACGTTGCAAATGTGCAGGAAATTTACAATGACCTATCCGCAATCTACTTAATGTAGTATAATATTGTCTACCAAGAAAAACATTAGATTTTTCAAAGCAATATTGTAACCAGACAATTTACAGATTTTGTTAGAATCAAACAAAGTTTCATTTAGTAAAATGATATCAAAATGTGATGTAAAGTTGTAAATAAAGTTTTTAAATTGAAATATTTTAGACAGAAAGCTTCTTGAGTTCCAATGAACAATATTAATTTCCTTTAAAGATGTAATGGTCATGTTGAAAAATTAGATATGAGTATTTCCTTAATTAATTTGGATGAAATTGTATCAGAATTAGTTTGAGCTTTCTTAACTAGCTCAATAACAGTCTTAGTAATTGTGTTGAGTACAGTGTCTGAGTTAATGATGTCAGTAACTAATGCCCTTTTTTGAGGAGATTTATTTTGCGTTGAGCTGTTAATAGACACAGGGGTATTTGAATTAATTACAGAGTTAACAGATTTTGAAGTCACTGATGCATAAGATGTTTTGCCTAGAATTTTATCTTTGATTTGAGACAATTTCATCGATTTAGTGGGACAGCTATTAGATACTGCTACATGTTGTCCATTACAATTAACACATTTAGGATTCTCTTTGTTGATACAGGATCTATAATCATGGGCACCGGCACATATGGAACAAACTTGCTTACTTCTGCAGGAACTGCTTCCATGACCAAATTTGTAACAAGTGAAGCATTGGAGTAGAGGTCTAATGAATTCACGCACATCCAGCCAAATATGATCATACGTTACGTGATCAGGTCGCTGCGTAGAGAGGAAAGTTACTAAAACTGTAGGAAGAGGATGAAAACTTCCATCTTCTTTCTTTTTTTTGAAACGTTTAACACCGATGATATCTACAGTAGATTTTAAGTTAATTAAGAGATCTTCCTCAGATATTTCAGTAGGAGCTCTTATAACTCCCTGAGATTTCAGCTGATTATTGGGTTGAAGTTTATGTTTCTCTAATAAATCTTTATTTAATAAAAATTCGTTAGCCTGTTTCATTGATCGAAAACATATTTTGAATGCAGTAGAACCCATAGTACGAATATAGAATACACCAGGTACAGTCCTCAGAATTGAATTGACTTGCAATAAGTTTACATTGTTGCCCTCAATAGGAGACAACAGGATAAAATATTCATTTTTAGTAGTGTCAGAATATAGGTAATTGTGATCTTTAAACAGTCCTCTTTTTGAGTGAGTAAATTTAATACTCATCTTAGCATCTGGCTCTTCATCAGATATGGAAGTATTTTTTTTTCTTCTTTTTAACTTGCCTCCGCTTGACTCGCACATATCCTCTAACAACACACGAGGGCTTAAATTGGAGAAATAAGTAAAAGAAACTAGGAGAAGCAACAAATAAATATTAAACAAATAAAATGAATTTAAAATTTCCGCCCTCGCGTTACAAGTTTTCCCGTCTTTTTTCACTCAAAGACCAATAAAAATGATATTGACAGAGAGAAAAAATACATGGTTGTTGCTATTATACAATATGTACAGTGAGGGAATATTATTGTAATTGGTTGGATTGATGTTTGTACCATTATATCTCATGCGTGTATAGTGTGGCGTTATTTATCATTAGTATAATATCAATAGTGCTTGTATACTAACACTTCGCCGTTTCATTGCACCTCATCCTTGCCGCGCAGTTTTCGCCGGCATACCAACCCCAAAAGAGTATCAAATTATGGATGTCGGTTTAGGAAGCCAAATTTAAATAACCTACTGACAGCAAATGTGTAAATCCGCCACCAGGATAAACCTCTATGTATATTTTAATTTTAATTTCAAAGCAAAGATAGGCTACACATACGCGTATACAAATAGGTACGTGGTTTACCTTGTAAGAAATTTGCTTGTAATATCTTATTGTTGTCAACACTAGTCCTTCCGTACTGTATGGACTTGTTTTCATTTTGATTGCAATAAACTGCAGAATGAAATAATAATTGTAACCATAAAGACGCTATTCCAAACTAAGAACAACGAAATCTTTGATTTGTTGTCGAACTTATTATTTATTTTTTCACTTTTTATAAGTTTTGTTAGTGCTGCCTCTACAGAGCAATTTAGAAACTAATTGTAAAATTGCACTTTTGTTACAAGATTATGTATGGCGCCGTTTATCGCAAAAAATACTTTTAAACATCTAGCGATTAAAAAGCATTCGTACTATAGTTTGCTTACACTTAACAATTTCGTTATTCACGCAGCATCTGCTGTTATAGAGAACAAGTGTGGTGGACGTGTTTTTTTCTTTCATTTATATAGTTAAAAAAAAAAAACTTTTAATTTTACAAATTTGATATTGATAATAATAAATATATCAAGATTGTTTGAAAATTATTGAAGAAGTTAAGTCCGAGAATGCCTTAGCCCTCAATTGATTGATCCTTTGAATCGAATTGATCCTAGTCGCTTCGATTTCTGTCTCTGTCTGGCTCTGGGGATGAAACGTAGGTTTGAAATAAAACAAAATTTACTGAGATGAAATCTTTATTTGATTTGAAATCTCTGCCAACAGGGGCGCGGCCCCGTGGCGGGCCAGGCGCGGCGCCGTCGCCGCTGCCTGCTCGCGGCTGCCTCGCCTCACCTCACTCCCTGGGTGTTACGTACTACGAGACATCTGAGAGTACCGTACAACAGCTACGTGTCTAACATCTACCCGCAACGATTTACGTTACAAATATAATCATCGCTTATATAATTTCAAATATGATATCGGCCCGCGGACCTGTCCGCGGGCGCGGCTATCTACTAAGGTTAACTATAATATCACTTAAGGATCACGCTCAATGGAATGGAACGGTTACATCACACGTTACGGCACCCTGCTCTAATTCGTATTATTTACAATTCATTAGGAGTAGTTTGTACATACATCGTCCGCGCTAAGGAGACGGCTACGGATGTAGAAAAAATATTGTCTATGCTCGTCTACCGAACTAGGCTCGGGAGGACGTAGCGGGTAGAGGCCCGGCGGCGGGTGCGCAGGCGCGTCACGCTGCGGCCAGCCGCGCCTCGCACGGGCACGCGGCCCGCAGCGCCCGCGCCGCGCGCCGCAGCAGCGGCATCAGCGGCGGCGGCGGCGGCGGCGACAGCGGCGGCGGCGGCGGCGGCGCCAGCACGTCGGCCAGCGCGCGGCGCGGCCGGCGCGGGCGGCGCGGCCGGCGCGCGCGGGGCCGGCCCGGCCGCGCGTGCGGCGGCGCCGCCACTCAGCTCGGGAACTTGCAGTACAGGGCGTAGTGCAGCTCGTAGCCCGAGAAGCGGCAGTACTGCGCCTCCTTCTGCTCGAACGAGCCCAGCGACGAGAACTTGGTCAACTGGCGGGGCGTGTCCGCCGCCGGGGAGTCCTGTGCGACGGTGCGGTTAATTAATTACGAGAATACTTATGGAACCATTAGAAACAAGAAAATTAGAACGTCTACAGTCTTTTAATGGAAAATTTGTTCATACATTTGACTTGTCGTTTTACACAATCAACACGATCACAGCGTCCCATGCTAATCTATTCGTAGTAGAACATTCTCTTAATTTATGTTGATTGAAGCTAGCGCCACATTTGATGTGTCTTTTATTCACGGAAGATCAATATTGTACATGGCACTATAATGGCTAACCAATCCAAAAGCAGCTAGGAATCAAAGAAGTAAAATCAGTCAAATCCACGGATATAGGCGTTAATGGACGCGATTTCAAAATTGCTTCAATTTGAGGAGCAGAGATTAAACAATTTCTCAAATGTAAGGCATTATTATTGCCAGCTACGCATTCTAATTGAAATTTTGCTGACTTTACATTCACCTCCCACACTCCTCCAAAATTAGGCAACCCATACTTTGGAAGATATCAATGCGGCTGAACTTAGCCGAATTCGGTATTTTTTTAGTGGGTAAAAATGGAATAGTCACCAGCGAAAGATAAAAGATGTGGATGAAAGCATCGTGACGAATTCCATGAGAATTAACCACGATGGTTTCCAGGGGGAAATGCGTGGAGGGCGACCTGATAATGTATGCTGCTAGCGATAGAGCTTTTAGACCATATTACTAACACCTCCCTCTATCCCGAATACAATGTCGTCTTAAAATAGCCACTACGAGTGTGTTAACTAGTTACTACTCACCGGCGTAGCGAACACGGTAAGCACGAACTTGGCGGGGCGGAAGGCGTGCAGCACGCGCGAGATCACCTCGTCATAGCTGGACAGCGGCACGTTCGACTCGAACGACACATATGAGCACGACCGCTCCGGCGTTATGTGGATCGTCATGTAGCAGCCCTGCAATGGAAACCACGCTCAATTATATGTCTGTTTGAGTTTTTAACTCTCTGTCTATTGAAAGTGTAATGACACTTGTTGGCGGATTGTTTTTTTAATGAAAAAAACAATCCGCCAATTTATTTGCGCGTTTTCGAAGAGCTCCGTGTTGTTTGAGACAATTGTACTTCATATGGTGACTGAGTTTCAACACTATACGTTAATACACCAACGAACCGTGTAATTAGAGTAGGATCCTTCATTTTTAAGGACAATACTTGTGCCTAACAGTGGAGCATCATATTACAAGGAAGAAAATTAAAGAAAGCAATTTTTTTTCAACTTAGAATGGCAAACAAGGCCTTTTTTTAGGCAATAATTAAAAATCTGAGGTTTGTTTATTAAGCAAACAGCTCGTTGAGATATTGCCTTTTTCCATTGTGGTACACATTTTCACATATTCAGTTACATAAAAAAGTTAATGTAGTGTACAAAATTCGAAAAGGGAATGATGCAAAAGCACCCGTAACCGGCGAGCGTGTATGAAAAGATTAATGAATGTGGAAGAAGCGAAAGAGGTTTGAATCTTGCATTTGGCGTGCCATTGTTTCTGCCTACCCTAATGGGAGACAGGTGTGACAGATATGTATGTAAAAAAAAATTGTGTATATCGCCCTTATGTCAAAGACTAGTTTTTTTTTTTATTACTATTTTCACAATTTTTGTGTATTTCTTGATGCAAATAAAGAATCTATATCTCTATCTATCTATCTAAGTAATTAGAAACTAAAAATCCTAAACTACCAGACATTACCTAATTAAAGGAAAATAAGAATTAACACTATTCCTAAATAAGAGAATATTATAAAAAAAAAAAAAAAAACTTTTTTATTATAATTTAAACATTAGACTAAAAACATCCCAAAGTCCGACCTGCTTGCAAAAGGCGAGCTCTCTGTGAGTCTTATACTAATAAATCGACTTACTGATGGTAGGTCCTTATCTCCCTTTGGCAGCGAGAAAAATAACAAATATTAATAAAAAATAATACTACTAAAATAATTTTACCAAAAATCTTTATAATAAATTTTAAAATGAGAATCTAACAGGTTTTTCTATTTATCAATTTGAAAATAGAATAACATTTGTTTTTTACATTACTTTTCTGTCATTGCGTTTTAACAAAATAAACGTCTTGAAATCTTCCTTTTTATTGCTCGTTACATGGAACTGGGATAAGCAAGAAACCGTGTTAGAGATGTCAGTTCTAGTACCGACGGCAATGAACATTAAAAAAAAACTACCCAGTCTTTTTTAAATAAATTCCAATTTTCCACCTACATATTTTTTTTTATTCAATAAATTGTACCCTTATTACTGTTTGTAGGTAAACTTTTTTACCTCATTTTCTTAACTTTTTTTGTACTTTAACTATAGTTCCTATCCAATTTGTAAATTGTAAGATCTTTTTTTATTACTGTGTACTACTAACATACTACAGTATCATTAAGTATACCCATTAATTACATTAAGTGTGTCTATGAATTGTCTAGTACCCTCAACTCTCTCTCAAATCTGCTTACTTTAGAACTAGATATATTTCATCATCATCTTCCCACCCTTATCCCATTTATTATTTGGGGTCGACGTAATATTTTTTTCTCTTCCATGATATTTATTTATTTATAAATAAATCAGTAAATGTTACTTACATCTTTGGCGACCCCGTTCATGGAGTAGCCGCAAGGATCAAAGAGGAAGTCGTCTATGACCATGCCTGGAATGATTTGATCTATGCCCGATTTCTGAAAAAAAAAAGACAGACTACAGTCAGAATAAACATATTTAAATTGCACTTATTTAATACAGTTATAACAGAGAGAGACTAGACTATACAAAAGTCTTTTGTTTGCGTACCTCTACCCCAATCGTGTTTCTGCCATGAAGCAATTGTGTTTGCATGGCTTTGTTTCAGAATTTAGCCTATTAAGACAAAAAAAGATATACAGTAAATACTGTCAACTTAACATTAAACAATTTTGACTTTGTCATGTAATCATAAATATTATAAAATGGATTATTAAAAAAAAAAATATTCTTTTAAATTTCGAAAATGGAATCTTTAGTAGTAATCCATATTTTACACACTTGTTAGCCTTTTACGTGGTATAATAAATGTACTTTTACATTAAAAAAGAATTTAATTGTCACTCACCCTGGTGGCGTGCGCGGCGTCCTGTGAGGCGGCGCGCGTGAAGATGTCCATGACTTCAGGGTCAAGGTCCGACATCAAGATCTCAATGGTCTGGTCGGGTTCGGACACGTCACACCCGTTGCCCACCTCGCGCTGCTCCTTCTCCAGTGCGTCTACTGTGCCTGTAGAATGTAAAAAATATATACTATGTATATTTTTTTAGAGAACAAAGTATCTACTGTTCCTGCAAAATTAAATAAAAAAATATTGTCTATGCTTTATTAGAGTACAGCGCATCTATTGTCTCCGCTAAATAAAATAAAATATTATCTACGCTTTATTAGACTACAGTGTATCTACTGTTCCTGCAAAATTAAATAAAAAAATATTGTCTATGCTTTATTAGAGTACAGCGCATCTATTGTCTCCGCTAAATAAAATAAAATATTATCTATGCTTTATTAGACTACAGTGTATCTACTGTTCCTGCAAAATTATATAAAAAAATATTGTCTATGCTTTATTAGAGTACAGCGCATCTATTGTCTCTGCTAAATTAAATAAAATATTATCTACGCTTTATTAGACTACAGTGTATCTGCTGTTCCTGCAAAATTAAATAAAAAAATATTGTCTATGCGCTTTATTAGAGTACAGCGCATCTATTGTCTCCGCTAAATAAAATAAAATATTATCTATGCTTTATTAGACTACAGTGTATCTGCTGACCCTGCAAAATTAAATAAAAAAATATTGTCTATGCTTTATTAGAGTACAGCGCATCTATTGTCTCCGCTAAATTAAAAAATATTATCTATGCTTTATTAGACTACAGTGTATCTGCTGACCCCGCAAAATTAAATAAAAAAATATTGTCTATGTTGTATTAGTTTTTTTTTTTTATACAACTTAGAATAGCAAACAAGCTGACGGCCTACCTGATGGAAAGTGGTAACCGTCGCCTGTTATGTCCATGGTACTGCTCATGTCTATAAGCGACGGTTTCCACTTTCCATCAGGTGGGCCGTCAGCTTGTTTGCCATTCTAAGTTATATAAAAAAAACAGTCGAATTGAGACCCTTTTCCATTAGGATAATTGTTATCAATTACGGATAAATAGCTGAACCCATTTGGATAAAACATCATACATAGATACATCTCATCATATATCTCAAACTAGTTGCAGGATAAAAATATAATCGTACCTTCAAGTGGCAGCAGTGTGTACAAGTACCAGCAATCCTTCTCTGGGCCCATAATGTATGCGCGACCGTCACCGAAAAATGAATCAAGTAACTCCACCTGTTAAACAAATTATTCTTTGTTACACTGTTATCGTAGCTAAGCTGGTCCTAACTTGGTTAAATTGAACCATACTTGGCCTCATTGGTCTAAATTGGATAAACCATACTACTATTCGATTTTGTTTGCATAACATATGTATATTATATTTATATGGTCCACAAATATAGAGTTATCGGCAAAGAAAAAAAAAATCTACCGTCTTTTTTCTTTTCTCCTCAGCCCAATATGCATAAATAATAATAAATAAATTTTAAGTGTCAATAAACTGATAACGAAATATTTCACAGATATTCAATACTAGCTTTTACCCGCATCTTCGCTCGCGTAACCGGGATTTGTTGACTGACCAAGATCAAAAGTACCCTATGTCTTATACCATCCCTTATAATAAGTGTATACTAAATTTCATAGTAATTGGTTAAGTTATTTAGGAGCTAAAAGATAACAAACAAACTCACTTTCACATAATATTAGTAGGGATTTTAGATATTTTGCTTTGCACCGAGCAGTTTCTAGCTCAACAAAATAAAAAATTGACCCAACACGAAGTCGTTGAAAAATATGCAGAAAAAGGAAAATAAGCAAAACGTTTCATGTCTGCTTAAGCCTTAAGTAATGCAACGCAAGTCCTATGGGAGGGAAGGGATTGTTAATAACGCGGAATACCAATCCCTTTGCTAGCAATATACCTTGCCAGGTCGACCTCCACGTGGTTCCCCCTGGAAACCATCGTGGTTAATTCTAGTGGAATTCGTCACGGTGAGCTAACTGACTTACTTTCATCGTCACCTATCATCCCTCACTGGTGCCCCACCAGCGTATACCGATAGGGCAGGCAGGGTTACCATTCCATTATCACGCATTAAAAAAACGCAAGTCCTATAGTTAAATAGTCCATTATTAAGCATATAAGCATTAAGCACAAGGTCCTGGCTTTCAATGGGCTCAATTTAATGGTCAAGGGATGGGCAGCAGCGTCCCTCTTAAAAAATATCACCAAAACCTAATTGCAGTTGGCAATTCGTCCGCCAAGCGTGGCAGTGATCTACGAGCAAAGATCCTCTTATGGAGAAGGCTTATGTTGAGCAGTGGACAGTACAGCTGATATTTTTTTTTACAACACAGGGGGCAAACGAGCGTGCGGCTCACCTGATGGTAAGTGACTACCGCCGCCCATGGTCATCCACAACACCTACGGCATTGCAGGTGTGCTGCCGGCCTTTTAAAAAGGAATATGCTCTTTTCTTAAAGGTTATGTTGTCGTATCGGTTCGGAAATACTGCTGCTGGAAGTTGATTCCAAAGAGTGGTTGTTCGTGGCAGAAAATGCCTTGAAAAACGCACGGTGGAGGACCGCCACTCGTCCAAATGGTTGGGATGAAATTTTAGTCTATGGCGGGAATATAATAAATTAATTAAGCATATTACTTTAACGGATACATTGGCCTATCGCTACAGCGTGAACTTTAGCCGCAGCCTGGTCCCACTATACGGCCGCGTGTGTACTACAATTCTGATAACATGTATTCGAATGCAAAGGTTCAGTCGCAGGTCATATGCGAATAGATTACACGAGCCGAGTCAATATTACCATTACGATACAGTACTGACTTCATCACAATCCATTGACGCCTCACTAGTGTACATAAGATAGCTACGTTCAATCAATCCGGTCTTCTTAACTCAAATGGGAAGGGTTATATTGCCTTTATGCCGTTGGGTTTCGGGAAGATTTCGAAAAGGAACCTGGAACCCCAACTTTATGGCGCGGCCAGGGATGCCATGTGGATTTTAGCCGGTAGGAGTACCCACACGCCTCCCCCAGGGAGCGTGGGTCTGCATGATGCATTTGCCACATGTAAATAAAAAAAAAGATGGGGACTCCGTGGCGGACCCCTTTGCTCTAGCTTCACAACGAAGGCTACTACCCCCGGGTCATTGATTCGAAGCCTCACTAACCAACGTTCTTTTTCCACAACGGCTACAATCGATAGATGTCTCTGACTACCCCAATAAGAATTACAGTCATAAGTATAATAAATAACATGCTAGATAGTCAGTTAGGTATAAGGCTTTATAATTTTCCTTCGCTCGTTCTGGTGTATTGTGCTTTGTCTCTCTTAGACACCTCTAACCACATTCTAAGAATGAAAAGAAGTGATGACACATTATCCTTATTCCGTCATCATACGGAGTCTCACCACATAATCATTATAAGAGGATATTCCATATAATGCAAGTAGTAAACGCATTCGTGGCCCGAGCTATCTTGCGCTAGCCACGTCACCATGTGAAACCACCATAGCGGCATCGTGGGCCACGTCTTCTATAAATCCTGCTCACCTGCTGATCGCAACAAACCCCCCACCGCAAATAAGCATCCATTCAACAAAGACATTTTGTAAGATTATTAGAAGGAGTCGAGTCTTTAAAACTGTTTACGTATTGTGCAACTGCTTACTCTAATGGTAAAATTCTCGTGTGGAGACAATTAAGAGACGAGCTGAAATTGGAACGTGTTGTGTACGCAAACGTGGCTGGTGCTCATTTTGAGATACTGTTTGCCTAAGTATCGAAGTTGCCATGTGGCTGGCACAAGTCTCACCTCAACAGTTGCGGGACGAGTCTCACGAATTCTCGCTGCGAGTATAACACACGTACGTCAGCGTGGCTTGTATAGTAGTACCCTTGTACCATGATCGCTCACCTCGGTGTCGAAGTTGTCGTGCGGCGACAGCTGCGAGGCGGGCCTGGCGAACTCCCGCCGCGAGTAGAACACGTTGTGCACGCACGCGTGTCCGGCGACGTCGCGAGCCAGCGACAGCACCGCGCGCACGCACCGCAGCGGCGTCGTCGTGCCGCACGTCTTCAGGATCCAACGGCGGCGCGACACAAACATGCTGCTCTCGCTGTAAACAAGCAAAAAACTTGGTTAGAAATATTTTTCGCTACAAATTGATTTCAAATGGCAAACAAACTTCGCCAGTCCAATGGCTTTTTTTATGCAACTTAAAATAGCAAGCAGAAGGCGCACCTGATGAAAAGTGGTAACCGTCGACTATAGACATGAACAGCACAATGGGCATACCTAACCTAACAAAATACACTTTGATACTCATAGTACTTTTCAGGACTCTTATGTTCAGCAGTGGACAGTTAAAGGCTGATATGATAATTACGACGATTTAGGGGGAAAAAAATTGTTATTAATGGAGATTGAGAATCCCATTGCTAGCAATATACCTAACCAGGTCGACTTCCACGCGGTTCCCCCTGGAACTATCATGGTTAATTCATGGTGAATTCATCATGATGGACTAACTGGCCTATTTTCATTTTTATCGACCACCTTTACTGGTGCCCCGCCAGCGTATACCGTTAGAGCAAGCGAGATTACCGTTCTATTTTCACCTATCAAAAAATACGACGATTATTAGCTACCTAACAATCTACGAGTATATTCTTCCTTCCATCAAACTTTATCAAATTTAAGTTTTAACCTTGGTCAAAATTACTACGTTTCCCAATTACTATCGCGTTTTTATTACTCGAACTACTTATTACAAAAAATAATTGTAAACAAGTAGTACGGAGAAGAGACATTGCACTTCGTTTTTTTTTTTTTTTAAAAAATACTTGCAATACAAAAAATAAGTCATTGGTAAAGAAGAAGGAAAAAATAATGCGAGGCCGAGCCAACCAGATGGTCGCACCTTTTTAAGTTATCACGCTTAACGTTAACGTGATTACTCATTGTAAACAATTAAAAAAATATGCTCACTACAATCTATTTTAATGAATCTCAATGAAAACGGTAATCAAGATATGTTGAAATTATTACAGAAACATTTTTAAATGAATTAATAACAAATCGAAACATAATCTTTTTTTTTAATTTGTACTACTTTGGACGTCAGCAAACTGTCTTATGGTCCGGACGATTGTCTTTGTTTACATTATTAAGAACTTCTATTTTTTTTTTATACAACTTAGAATGGCAAACAAGCTGACGGCCCACCTGATGGAAAGTGGTAACCGTCGCCTATAGACATGAGCAATACCATGGACATAACAGAGTATACTGATTCGCCCATGATACCCCCTATGCGTTGCCATTCCTGAGGACTCAGATGTTATTCCTCTGTACCCAGTAAATTCACGCCATATCCCACCCTTCAAACCGAAACACAGCCATGCAAACACAACTGCTTCACGGTAGAAACACGAATGGGACAGAGGTACCCAAGCAATCGACTTTTGTACAAAGTCTCCCTCTGGTAAGTCTGGTACTCTATTTAAACATACTTTATTACTATTTTTTTTTTTATATTATTTGCTCACTGCAGTAACCCAAAATGGATGGCATGCTACTGACCAGTGATATTGTGATGCACTTTTCACAGAACGATATTATTCGGTACAGAGATAATCCCCTACTGACTCCACCGGGCAGTGATAATTACTACAATAATGATAAATATTCGACCTCTCAGGCGCTTAATTATAATAAACAAAGAAAAAATATTATGGGATCAACATACACCTTTAAGAAAACCCTATCAATTAAATACAGTCGAAATGAACACATCCTCCTTTACCTATCTTCAAAATGTACATTCATGCTGAGCATATATGCATCATCATAGCATTCATGCATAGCATTATCCTCAAATTATTATTGATAATAGCAAACTATTTGTTGCAACGTATAGGGCTTTTTGTGCAACTCGGAACGTTAAACAAACTGACGGCCCATCTGAAGGTAAATAGTAACCGTCGCTTGTAAACTGGAATGGCACCATGTACAGTACTTGTACAAAAGTCTTTTTCAATACCTCTGTGCTACCCGTTTTATTCGTCGCCGTGAAGCAGCTATGCTTGCATGGCTGTTTTCATTTAAAGGGATATAGCAATGAAATAATTAGAGGGTACAAAATAACAACTCATGAGTGGTACTTTGTGTATTTTATGACGTCCGTGGTGCATAAAAAAAACTATTTAGGCAAATAAACTTTGAACATAATTCTTACCCCCTTGTTCATAAACCTATTTTAGGCATTTAATTGTTTTGTCTCTTTCTTTTACACTGAATTCCCCATTTAAAAGTAACAAAACAGTGTAATAGATAAATTCGTAGGTTTTAGTTTTAATAAATAAGAGGGTTAAAGGACAAAGAGTTGTAAAACTGAGAAAGAAAGAACGAAATATTTTTATTCAAATAAACTTAAATTTAAGCAATTTTAAGTCTTTTTTTCATTACCGACATTCGGGACACAATTTCAGGCAAGAAAAACAGTCAATAAACTCAGCTCTTGTGTTTTTTATCAAAAAGTTTAATTATATATAAAAGAAGTGTTAAAATTTTAGTAAATTAGAGATAACAATGAGTACAGAAGAATCCGCCTCGTTATCCAACGCCCTGGTCATAAGCGGTAATAATTATTTATGGTAGATACAAACATTTGCTATTTAAATACTAACTAACTACCACAGATAACAACAACCACACGAGCAACAGTTCAAATATTATTTACATTTAGATTACATATGTCTGGCGTATTCGTGTCGGGAATAAAGTTAACGCCTTGGTGATAAGCTATCAGCGGCTTATGTAAAGTTACAATGAAATTATTTGCAAATTTATAATTCTCATTATTTTTATTTTCATCCGTCTATTTAACTTTTAAGATAGTGGTTGACCCGACAGACTTTTAAACAGACTTCAAAATGAAAGAGGTCGTTAATTCGGTTATATATATATATATATATATATATATATATATATATTTGTTTATATTCATAATTCCATCAATTCGGGGGGAAAGGGATTATTAGTAATGGGGTCTAGTTTCCCCATTACTAGCAATACATTCTATCAAGTCGACCTCCAGGCGGTTCCCCCTGGAAACTATCATGGTTAATTCTAGTGTAATTCGTCACGATGGGCTAACGGACCTGTTCTCGTCGTCACCAATCATCCCTCAATAGTGCCCCGCCAAGGTATACCGATAGCGCAGGCAGGATTACCATTTCATTATCACCCAATAAAAAAAAACTCCATCAGTTCTATACCGTTTCAGAAATTTTTTTTTTTTATTTGAATGAATCAAAAGTTTGATCCAATAAAAAAAGAAAATTTGTATGGGACCTAAATTGTAAGTATTACAGTTTGTTCCCATAGAAATTTTATTACATAGGTAAATAAAAATCGCGGTCAAGAACACGTACTTTGAACTTTTTAAAGTATTCAAACTAATATTGAGGTTAAAACAACAAAATTATCAATTACTATGTTTAATTGCAATATATAATCCATAAAACACTATAACTGAAATGATAATAATTCTAATCTTCTCATAATTAGTATTATGAGTTCAATAAATGTTCACAAATAACACTGCTCTGAAACAAATACAATAAAAGTCCTTTATTCGCGGTGTATACGTTCCGTGAATATGCCGTGAATACAGAAACCGTGAATATAGGAGGCCGAACTATTTATACAGCGGCAATAGCATTCGACAACATACTTTAGTCATAGTTGTAATAAGGTCTGTTTTACTTTTTTATTAGTCCTTTTGCCGACGCATTTACAAAGGACACCGAATCCTTTTTATTAATATGCACCGATTCGATCCGTGAATAAAGAAATCTGTAGCCGTGAATATAGGAATTGGGTCGCATATTTTCGATTCACGAATAAAGGAACTGTGAATAAGGGGATTTTACTGTAATCTTTAAATTACTATTTGTATTAGAGAATCTATGGGACAATTGTAATACTGTTATCTATATATCATAGACTATAGTTTCATTAAGGGAACGTACATTAATGAATTAAATATGTTTATCTGAAGCGCCCCTTACCCCCCAATTAACTTCTAAATAAAATTTGATGGGACGTTAACCGTGAAATTTGAAATAATTAAATTTATTTAAACCCCCATCTCTCCCGACCACGAATAAATAAAATTTCGTCACAATTTGCTAGAAATATTAATCACTAAAAATAGAAAATAATTCATTCATCTAATCATTTATTTATTTCATAACATTGTCAAAATCATTATTAATACTTAAAATATTCCACAATACATTAGTTATAAATGTTATTTATAAATTATAAATTAATTAGTTAATTACTGTTTCAACATTTTTTAATAATAATAGGTATATATGTTAATAATAGTAATTACTCACAAACATATGTATATACATAACATCACTTATACTATTCTAAAATGTCATGTTAAACGGTAGGTATTACGGGGCACCAGTGAGAAAGGATGGGTGAGGATAAAGTAGGTCAGTTAACCCCATCATGACGTGTTCCACAAGAATTAACCACAATGGTTTCCAGGTTCACGTAGAAATTGACCTGATAGGGTATTTATTTATTTATTTATTTGCTGTTTATGCTATTGGAGTTATTAAATCCATAACTAACAATCTCTCCCCCTTACAGTTGACAGTTACCGCATACAGCCAGGAATACCAGCTTGTTCGTCTTTTAAATAGCATGGAAAAAACTATTCGTATGATTAAGAATTTCTATGGCATCTCCGTTGGACACGAATTTATTTATATATTCAAGTAATCAAGAAAGAAGAACCTGCTTCCCAACAAAAAACCAAACCAAGAAAGAAGCCAGTCATTGAGGCAATGAAGCCAGTGGCCCGGGGATAATCACCCATAGTGATGAATCAGGGGTAAAGGGGGCTTGCCCCGAGGTCCACAAAGAACCTCCTAAAAGGGCTAAGAAAACATAGATAGGTGTACACAAAAATCTCTAAAATGACTTACAGAACATCGGCGTCAAACCACAGAGCAATGACAAACATTTGCGACAAAAGGTACAAACATGAATTTGAAATTTCAGAAGTTCGGGTCAATTCGAACTTGAGATCCC